ACAATTACCACAACCCAATCGTCGGAGTATAAATAACGACGGAATCATTTATTAAAGGTACGCCATATTATTTGAGTAATACGATAATTCGAATTCTCTCTACAATTACCGACTATCTTCACGTCTGACTTGAGCGTCGGAGGGGTTTCCGCCGGATCAACCCCCGGCCTAGTTCACGTGTTCTTTGTTCGCAGGTATCTCAGGGCCATCTAGCACGTGAGCAGCGATCCACTTTGCTCTCCCAGCTCCTTCGATCTCAACTATTTAAGGTGGTCTATTTTTAGCATCATCACCCACCATTTCTCACTTCATTTCTACAAGATTTGCTTAGTAAATTCGAATACATAGGAAAAAGGCAAACAACAAAGATAGGACAAAGATAAGTCAGATCTTTCTTAACAAGTAAGTCGGGCAGTTATGTTTTGTGTTTCGAAATTAGGATTATATATTGTATTCGATTTGTTTCTACAATCGCCTGACATCAAATTTCCATTAATCATTTTGGTTTTATTGTTAACAATTGGATGTATTACTTAGTTTCCGATTTTTATATATTTGCATGTGCTTTTTTTCGTTTTCCAACATATGTTATTTTTTTCTTCGTTTTGACTAAATTTTGGTAATTTGATTTACCAAAACAAGTTGATACACTGGTGCCAAGTCTACAGAAGTTGGTAATTTCGTTGAAAGTAATTAAACATAATTGTAAACAACTTTTTGGATTTAATGTATCTCTTAATGATATTATGGTATTTGATATTTGTCACAGATTTGTAGAATGCACGCGACAATGCATTTTTTGGTAGAGACATTCTATTCAAAGCAAAAATCAGCATGTTAGCAGATTATCACTGTCAAAAGGATATCAGATAATGAGGATCTTATACAACAATTTAGGAATAGATATGAATGTTTGATTTTTTTCATCCGTTTTCTGCTAGAAATTCATACAACGCCTTTAACCCCATTTGTTTGTTGTAGTTACATTATGAGAATGACGGGGAATACAGAGGCTCCCTGATGCACACAAGTTTCTATATAACTCCGCAATTTTGGTGAGTGAAAATTTGGAAAAACAAGTGATGTCAAGAAGTGGGATAACATGACGAAAGACGCTTTCAGACAAAAATAATGAGTGAGCATTTAAGGGTTCTTTTCTTATTTTTTTTTCACTAAAACTGCTGAATAATTAAGGACTATATTATATTTAATTTTCGACCTTACTTTGGTAGGTTTTGTCATTTATTGCTACCTTGGATAAATTGTGGAAGCAAAGATGAAGAGTATGCAATTGTTCTGTTCAGTGTAGAATATGATGTTCCAGGTTTTGCAGTTGGGACTGACGGATTTGAATCGTCGATTAGAGAATCTAAGAGGAGAATTATGAGATGGCAATGGTAAGATGAAATTGGAATTCGTCAAATTTCTCTTCAGACAATAGTCTGGACCCGAACTCCAACCTGAACTTGGGTATGGTTTTGATCCCGATAGTTGATAATTCTTATGTGATTCCTTCAACAACTTATGTGATTTAATCAAGCCATATACGTGGAATCTGGAAATAGTTTTTAATTTCAAATTATGTTATATTTTACTATGTATATTTTTTCGAAGAATTTCTATCATTATCATGGTCCTAACTTCTAAGTGCATATATACCATAACTTTATGTACATGTAAAACCTGATTTTTGTGGATATTGAAGAAAAAAATATCCTTATTTTATTTTCCAAAGACCAGAGAAGTATCTTGGAGACATAGTTACATGGGAAAAGGCGTAACATGTTCTTAAAGAGGGACTAGGGAAGCCCTAGAAGGTTTTCGGGTCGATATTTCTTGGTTCAATTGTTTGGTGATTTTAGTTGATAGATTGACTGTTAAAGCGCATAATGCTCCTCTGAAGACTTGCCTTATGGAAATACCATTTTGGTATTTTTGCCGATGCTGCTTTTTCTGAGAACATTTGATAGGTAAATTTGTGAGCTGTAAAAATTATTTTTTTTGGTTTTTACCGGTATCAATCTATTGATCGTTTTTATAGCCCCTACTTGGTAGTTTACTTACATTTTCATACATGCATACCATTCAGTATGTTGTAACTCTTCTCAGTTTTACTACACAGTTTTGTATCAATCTTGACTCTTGAGGATTGAGAAACAATGAAGCAAGAGATGGCAAGTGACAATATGTTGTACTTCGACAAGCTATAGAGCCTTGGGTTTGATTTGTCAATCGTGAAAACTATTGTTGATTGTATTAATCAAGTTCTCAATATTATTTTCATTCATCTTTTTATGATTTTCTTATGATATGATGTATTCTCAATTATTTAATTTCATTATATTTAACATATTAAGTTTTAAATATCTTTTGTTTTATAATGGCACCCGTGCAACGCACGGGTTATGGTTACTAGTAATATATAAATCGAGTACAAATATATTGATTTTTACTCGATTATTAATTATATTTTACTAATTATATAAATGGAGCAAAATTTTAATAAAATACGTCCATTTGTTTTATTTATTTAAAAATAAAAAAAATAAAAGAACTTTTCTAGTAATAATTGATGACACATAAAATAAAAGTACTAATTAAATTCATATTGGCAACACATCAAATTAGTAAATTCATAAACTATTGAACTCGTGGGAAATACATTCAATCAATTTTGGAATTTCTTTTTTTAATATCAATATCCACGTCACGTTTTCTTCAGTATTTATAGCGAATCATACTCTCATATATAAATATTACTCCATAAAATAAATAAAAAACAAATCTTTGGACTCTCAAGAAATAATTTGCTAAGAATCCTGATATACCAAAACTAACAATTAATAAATTAATATAAAAGGAAAAAAAGTACAATGAAATAAAGTAATAAATTCAAGAAAAAAAGGTAAGCAAACAAGAAAATAATTTGACTGACAGAGAGAATCGACGATTTCACAAACTCCAAAAATTCAAGAGTTTTATTATTTAATCAAATTTCTTATTTTTATTTAATTCTTTTTCTTTTTCCGCACGTGTAGAAACTAAAACCCCAAGATTTTGGCCCCCCAAAAAGGATCACCGACGAACCTGGTTTCTCTCCCCCCACCGCCGCGTAATCGACGGTGGGACGACGAACTCCGGCGGTGGCTGTTCAGAAATTTTGTTCAGGTACTATTTCTTGATTTTTAGTAATGATTGAGTTCAAATAAAAAAAAAAAAAATCTTGATTTTTTGTAATGGGATTTGCTTAATCTGTTTGAAATATTGGTTTCTTGCAGTGTTTGTTTCGAATGAGTTCTGATCGCAATTGTTTTTTTAATTTATTATTATTTTTTATTATTTTGATATTATTTACCATATTGGGATTTGCTTAATGTGTTCTAAATATCGGTTTCGGTTTCGATTTCGGTTTATTTTGATGTATTATCATAGTGGGATTTGCTTCATTTTATTATCATATGCTCAGCAATTTTTTTAATTTTTTTTAATGATCATGTTTTCGGTTTCGGAATGGCTGTTTTTCGTTTCGTTTTCAAGAATTGTTCTTCCGATTTTTTATTGATTTTGCAGAACGAAAAACTCGATTAAATCTATGTGTTGTTTGCCCTCTCTCTCGATGGGACCCGAAATCACAGCCGGAGATAAATTAAAAGCAAAAATGAAGGCTTCATCAACCTACGAAGCGAATCCAACATTCGATAAAGAACTCGAAAACGAGTGTAGGAATTTCGCATCTAGAGCGGTTGACCAAACTGAGAAAGTCAACATAACGGAAGCTACAAATTCCGGCGTCGAAGCACAGGAATATTTGGACGCAACCGAAAGCTCGAGTTCGTTCGACGACTGTGATGACTCGGAGCCTTTGTACCGACACGGTGACGATGATTTCGATCTCAATTTCGGATTCGATGATGCTTTCAGACTACGGTATTTTATTCTTTTCCCTCTCAAATTTATTTTTCCATGATATAATTTTATGCTAAATTAAATATATATATATATATATATATATATATATATATATATATATATTATTTGTCGCTTTAGAGTTTCAAGAATGATTTTTTTTTCCGGTTCTATCCTTATCAATCCAACTATATTAAGCATTATAAAGGTTATTTTAGTCTTTTATATGTGTCTATCATAAAATTCACCCGTATGATCGTATTTTTCATGATATAATTTATGCTAAATTAAATATATATATTATTTGTCGCTTTAGAGTTTCAAGAATGATTTTTTTTTTCCGGTTCTATCCTTATCAATCCAACTATTTTAAGCATTATAAAGGTTGTTTTGGTCTTTTATACGTGTCTTTCGTAAAATTCACCCGTATGATCGTATTTTTTCATGATTTTTTTTTTTTGATCTTTAGGAAGAAAGATCTGACTAACGACTGGAGGTCGTATGTTCAGCCGCTGAGGTGGCGTTGTAAATGGGTTGAATTGCAAATCAAGAAACTTGAGGAACAAGGGCGAATGTACGACGTACAGCTCGGGAAGTACAGTCAGCAAAAGCAGGCTTGGTTAGAGAAATCTGCATTGGAACAAGGCCTTGGTGTAAAATCAATACCCTTTTACCAAAACCATGGTGGAAAAAACGAGGTTCGGAAAAGGAAGAAACGAAGAAGAGCTGAAAAAACAAAGGATTTATTACCGTATATTTCGCATCACAACATTTTTTCTTACTATGGTACATTATTTCTTTGCTCTCAAAATTATCTTTTTATGTGGGGGGGGGGGGGGTAAATTACGGCAACCCCTTTGGGGTAAGGTCAAATTACTAAAAACACCCCTCTTGTTTGGGTAATTACAACTATCCCCTTAACTATGTAATTTTTTTTACGAAAAAACCCCTCCTTCACTAGGTAAATTTGAAGTGGACGTGTAAGACAATACATATTTGAGGGGGTGGTTGTAATTTCTCAAACATGAGGGTTTTTTCGTAATTTGACCTTAACTTAAGGGGTGGCCGTAATTTGCCCCCTTTTTTTTTGTTTTTTTTCTTTGCGCGAGTTAAGAATTATTTATGCGTAGTATTTTTGCAGTGAGTAAGAAGGGTTCCGATCGGGGTGCTTTTGTCGAAGGCGAGTTGAGGAATCGTGGTGAGTTGTGAATTGATCAATTTCTTATTTTAAACGGGTCGTAGTTTCGAGTGTAATCTAAAAAAAGATTGTATTTTTATTTGACGGGGCTTCATTATTTTGTAACAGAGGCGAATCAAAAAGTTGCCACTGACGTTGGATTTTGGGGCGACGATCAATCCTTATGCATCGAAAATGGAAACGATGATAATTCTTTGGAGCAAATACTCCGCAAGATTGTTTTTTTACAGTCACGGGTCGGTAAATTGAAGAGTAGGGTCGAAAAGGTCAAAAGTGAAACCGACGTAAAAACAGCCGAGAAGGTAATAAGTGAAAACGTCGGAGAATTAGCTGAGAAGGTCGTAAGTGAAAACAATGGAAAATTACCCGAGAAGGTAATAACCGAAAAAAATGGAAAATTACCCGAGAAGGTAATAACCGGAAATAATGAAAAATTACCGGAGAGGGTAATAACCGAAAGAAATGGAAAATTATCGGAGAAGGTAATAACCGGAAATAATGGAAAATTACCGGAGAGGGTAATAACCGAAAAAAATGGAAAATTACCGGAGAAGGTAAATAGTGAAAAAGTCGGGAAATCGTCTTCTAGTGATATTTCCGATAATGATTTAATTAGCTCTCCTCTAAATCGTGGGAGAAATATGTCGATGGCGGATGCTATTGCGTATCAGCTTATTCAAGGGTATATTATTGACCATCCCGAACTCGGAATCGATAGTCAAGGAGATTCTTTTCACGATGCAAATGGAAACATAAATGACGATATTCTTGCATCTATATTTCCAAATGTGAGTCTTTTTTTTATTGAATAAATCTTGATTTACTTTCTTGATTTGCTGCATTTGGTAATAATTTTAATTTTTTTTTAATTGTTGTAGGAAGAAGAAGAAGAAGAAGATCTTCTAATCGATAACCATAGGGCGATGGAAGTGATGAGAAATTATGAGGAACTAATCCAACCGGTACAAAAATCTCCGGTTTTAGCAAAACCTGATTTTCCGAGGGATAATCAAATGCCGAAAAGAAAACGGGATATCGAAGAAGATGTCGATGCTATTGAAAAAAGCAAGAGTAAGAGGGGCAGAATAGTAAAAGCTGGTCCTAAATGATGAATTAAATCTGCAAATATGTTAATATAGGGTTTTTTTTAATTATTATTATTTTTTTCAAGATTGTAAATTGTGAAGTGGTCCAATTCTTTCGGCACATATTATTTCTTACATATGGATTAATTGCATATAGTTTTCTGAGGAATGTAGAGTCAGTTGCATATATTGTTATGCAAAATTTTGGTAATTTTTAAGGTGACATTGTCTATATATTGTTGAGCTTGGTTTCCATTTCAGATAGCAATATTTATTTTAGGGTAAATTACGAAAACCTCTCGGAAATTAGGTTAAATTATGAAAAATGCCCCCACCTATCTGTACTTACCAAAAAAAGCCCTGACGTTTGTTATAGATTTTTCACAGAATCTTTTGACTGCGGTGAATATTTCGCGAAAATTAACCTCATAGGGGTAATGGTAATACTAAAAAAGTTGTCAAGGTGTTATTTAAGAAGAATAAAGATTCCGTGTAGAGGACTCCAGAGGTTAATTTTTATGTATAAAAAATAGCATATATAAATGTCATGTCTGCATGGGTAAAATCGGCATTTTTCAGAAATAATAGCATACACCGAGTAGTTTCCCGCCTTTGATTCACACACACATACACGTGGATGCGTGTAAACTATACCGCCAAAAGTGGGTCCCACACCTTCATATGCAATCGCAGTTGATCCAACACCGAACGAGTCTCCACCAAACGGGTACGGTTCATTTTATTATTCCCCGCAACAAACTCGAAAACCTCACTATTGATCTCGATAGCACTACATCCAGCTTCTTTCTTAGCCCCTTTACTCGCCATCAACTTTTTAATTTCCTCGACATCTCGCCATCTTTTCTCGCCCGCGTACAAATTCCTCAACACTATATAATTACCATCGTTAAACGGATCCAAATCAATCGCCTTCTCCACAAATTTCTCCGCCCTAATTACATCCTTTGCATATCCACAAGCGAATAGCAAAGAACTCAATATTATTCCATTCGCTTCGTACGGCATATTCTTGATCAAAGATTCCGCTTCCACCACGCGCCCCGCCCTACCCAAAAGATCCACTAGACAACCGTAGTGCTCGATTTTCGGAGTTAGATTATATTCCGGCATTTTATCGAACCATTTTTTGCCTTCCTCCACTAAACCGCTATGGTTACAAGCTGATAAAACGCCGAGCATCGTAATATGGTTGGGATTAAACCCTTTTTTCTTCATCTCCGTGAACACGTCTAACGCCTCGTTAGCACGCCCGTTTAGTGCTAATCCGTTAATCAACGCATTCCATGTACACGTGTCGATTTGCCTAACATTATCGAAAACGGTTCTTGATTTCTCGATTTCCCCACATTTAGCGTACATGTCGACCAGTGCTGTGGAGACGTTTGCGGATTTGTCGAACTTTTTCCTCTTCGCAAATTCGTACACCCAATTTCCGATATCGAGTGCCCCCAAATCAGCAATAGCTGGAAGAACACTAACAACAGTGACATCATCCGGCTCGAACATTTCTTCGGCAAGCAATTCTTGAAACAGCGCTAACGCCTTGTGGGATTGCTTGTTCTGACAGCATCCGCCAATCATTGCATTCCATGTGTACAAATTTCTGTTGGGCATTTTATCGAACAACAGGCGAGCTTGTTCTACATCGCCATTGTTGCAGTACCCGTCGATCATAGTCGTCCAAGACACCACATTTTTCTCCGGTGTGGCATCGAAGATCGTCTTAGCGGGCCCCATCTTGCCTAACTTCACATATCCATCGATCATCACATTAAACGAAGCTGTATCCCTCTCGTTACAGGGTATTGTTTGAAAGAGTGATTCGGCATCATCCATATCTCCACTCCTGATATAACCAGTCATGAGAGCGGTCCATGACACCGGACTCCTCTCGAGCATTTCATCGAACAGTTTTCGAGCGAAACCCATTTGGCCCAGCTTCCCATACATGTCCACCAGTGCAGTCGCCACGTACAAATTGGAACTGAAACCGTACTTAACTACATGCGCGTGCACCGCCATTCCTTCCCACCTCGAAAAACGCAAGCCGCAGCACTTTGTCAGAGTGGAAAAGGTGTAATTGTCCGGGACAAAGCCTTCTTTCCTCCGCAAGCAGGCGTACAGGTTAACGGCTTCGGCGAACTGGCCGGAAGAGAGGTGGGACTTCATCATGGTGTTGCACAGGAAAGTATCGGATCTCTGCGGCATTTGATCGAACACCTTGCGCGCGTGGCGTGCGCTGGAATGTGTGATGAGCTTAGTTACGAGATTGAGATTGGTTTCGAGGGCGCTACGGAGCATGAATGCGTGGATCTGCAACAGAGTGGCTCTGCTGTGGGTTTTCATTTGGAGGAGAGATAAACACTTTCTCTCTCTAGGACTCCATAGCCATGAAAAGTCTGATCCTTTATCAGTCATGGTTGAATTATTGATTGATCAATACATTTGAATTTTTTTTCGTCCTATGATAACCAAAATCTTTTGTCTGGAAGAAGGGCGGGAAGAAGGCAAATCAACTGAAAGCCATGTTTGTACGTAGAATCAACAAAATAGTTTCCAATGGAATATTCCTTCTGAATTTCCAAATGTACCCCGGTGGACAGGGGCGGACCCAGGGGTGTTTTCTTGGGGGGGCGGAAATATAGGGGTAAATTAAGAGAGAATTTTTTTTTTTTGTTTTTAGGGACTAAAATGTACAAAATTAAAAGTTTGGGGGGGCGAAAGTGTATAAACTAATACATAAATCCCCAAAAAAAAAAAAAAAAAAAAAAAAAACAGCTTAAAAAAAAATTCTTGGGGGGGCGGGGGCCACCCCAGCCTTAGGCGTGGGTACGCCCCTGCCGGTGGATAAATGAGTATCAGCACAAACCCTCCCGTGAAATCTTTAATTGTCGAAAAAATCCCTATGTAAAAAAGAATTTTAGTAAGCCCCCTATGTTACGTTTACATACAAAGCACACAGCTCTTTATATTAAAATTGGTTTTTTACTTAAACAAAATGACAAAATTACCCCTAGTATTTTATTTAAAAATATTTCAATTTAAATAAACAATTTTATTTTTTTTATATGAAGTATAAAAGAAAATTATGAAACTTTTATTTTGGATTTTACAAAAACTATGGGGCGAATTTATAATTTTCTGAATTTATGTTTTAAAGTGTACTTTGGTCTTTTAAGGTCAAAAAACATACCCCAAGTTGCAAATATGCGCGTACAACACACATTCAGCTTGTAGGGATCTTAGGCAATATTTGGATGCGTTTTGGAACTTATTTTGATTTCATTTTGAGGAAATATGTTTTGGTGGAATAATTTGAGAATGAAAGTAATGTTTGTTTATATTTTGAAATGAGACAAAATACACTGTAGCAGTCACATCATGTTTAAAAATATTAGAAAAAAGTATTTTAGAAGAAAAAAAATGAAAGATGAAGTGATATTTATTTATTTTTTAGTGAAGACATTTTTTACTGTAGCATTCAAATCATTTTACTGTAGCAGTCACATCATGTCTAAAGGAGGGAGAAACTTTTGAGATTGTTTTAAGAAAATTATTTGAAAAATGCAATAAATATAATTTTGTTATGGGGAATCAATGAAAACAAAATCAAAACGCTACCAAACATTGCCTTATTGACTTTGACTAATTTTTATAGGTGGATTTTTGCTATTAATTTTTAACACGAAAGCTTTTTCAATAAATAGAAATTATACAGAGGAGATTCTTGCAAAAACTCCTAAATGTAATATTTCATCTTACCTGCGGTGGTTGCTTGTGTTTTACCCATAGTTTGTTTGTCTTATAGAAAATGGTAGTTTAGACAATTCGTTCATTCAGTTAGTGTTTGTAAAAGGTTGTTAATATTAAGAGGGTATTTATAATTACCAATACTACAGGGGTTCGTAAGTTTTTTAGTCTTACCTCGAGCGGGTATCTCGTAATTTACCCAAATAAAAGTTAAGGATTCTGTTTCAACTTCTCAACATATTTTGCTATTTAGGGTATATGCCAAAACAGCATAACAGCAAACTCACAATGCTTATTTCACACACACACACACACACACACACTAAAAAGGCTATAAATACTACATCCTAGGAGTTCCCAAAAAACCAAGCAAGAATCAAACTCATCACACATTCAAAACTACACATCAGAAAAAAATATCCGATTTTCTCGAAAAAGAAAAAAAGAAAAATGAAGGGTGGAGTTATCGCAGTTATCGCAATTCTTGCCGTTTTCCAATTGGCCGTTCAACACGGGCATGCAGTTACATGCGGTGAGGTGGACGTATCTCTCATGCCGTGCATTAATTACCTAATCGGGCACGACAGCAGCCCATCACCGGCTTGCTGTGCAGGGGTAAAAGCGGTAAAAGGGATGGCTTCGACCACAGCCGACAAAAGGACTTGCTGTGGCTGTGTCAAAGCTGCCGCTAACCGCTACACCGACTTGAAAGACGAGGCGGCTCAGAGTCTGCCCGCCAAGTGTGCCGTTCAGCTCGACATTCCTATCTCTCGTACTGTCGATTGTACCAAGTGAGTTTTTTTTTTCTGATTTTTTTTTTCAACAAGAACAAAAATTACTTTCTTTTTCGTTTATTATGATTTTATTTTATTTTTTGTTCTTTTTACGACAGGATAAACTAAGATGGGAAGAGGTATGAAGAAGAAGGGAGCTACGATTTCATATATCAGACGATTAATATTAGAACTATGTTTATGTACGAAAAAAAAGAATAAGTTAGGGAGATTCTTGAATAATGGTTCAAGAAGCTTATGTATAATTTCTTGAACCTTTCATATTATTAATGAATATTTTCTACTTGATATATATAATTTCACCTATTTTAATGTTTTTTTTAAATATTTTAAGAGAAGAAAATCAAGAATGAAAAAAAAAAAAACAAGTCACACATATTACACACAAAAGGGTGCACCACGGTGCGAGTGCAACTTCGATAGGTTCATTAAAATGTGGGTTGCCTTATCGATCAACAATATCGATTTTAGAATATCATCGAAAATGTAGTCATCTAGCTAGCTCGCCAAACCTCACATTTTTTTTTCTTAACCATATTCTATTATTTCGAGTTTCATCATCGGAAAGGCTCTGTCAAAACAACGCAGACACGTAAAAATTACCGAAAAACATAATAAAGATGATGAGACATGTGATTGTACAGTCTATTGAATTAAAACTAGGCTACCAAATGAAAACAAATAACTTAAATGAAAAATATATCAAGACCAATCAAATCTATCAACCGGAGCATATACATACATTTAAGGAAGCATAACTTAGCTTAACGGGTTGTACCCGAGACGACGAACATGGCCCATCCACGTGAGAGAAGTAACTACCTCGTTTTGCATCACAAAACTAGCTAAAACAAGTCGTCGTTAGCAGTTTAATCTCGTGTTGAATTTCATATTGTAGTTCGTTTTCTAATATAACAAAATGTTATTTAGCGGTAAAAACTAAAATCCAATATAAAACCGGGCAACTGGTTAGCAAGTAAATAGGGGATTTTTCTAAACCTCGTCGACAAGTATGTTCGGCCACAATCCTTTCCCTTCGAGCGTTGGTTGGTAGGATTGATTAGATTGAGTAAGATAACATTATTGTTTCTGATAATGTAATATGAGATTGTTTCATGGTTTGAATTTATGATTATAGACTTAGGCCCCGTTTGGTTGGCTGGCAAGATAAGATTAGCCAAAATAAGATTAAATAGCCTAATGAAACTCAATTATTTTATTGGACCTCGCAACATCCAAAAAAAAAACAACACACTAGAAGGCAAGATAAGCCATGATTATATAATTTTGACGGGTCGACCTGGCAATTTATTGGGGATACCAAACATCAAATTAAATCCAACTATTTAATTAATCTCGGCTCATCTTAGCAACCAACTGGACCTTTATAGTATTTGTATTATGTAATATTTGTAATCTACTGTTTGGAAATAAGGATTATCATGGATCATTGGATTGTATATGAAATATCCAATATACCCCTAATTCTAGACTAATTATTAGCATTATGTCTAACAATATGGGACACAAATGTTAATCTAAAGACATCTAAAAACCTATATAGCACGGATACGGATACGAAAACGAAAACGGACGGCAAAATGGACACGGGATATGGCATGTCTCAAAAATGAGGATACGGAAACTTGGATGAAACGTGTAAATATTAAAAGTTAGGGGTATATTTATACTTAATTATGCTATATAAACATATATATGATTTTATTTATATATAAATTATTTTTATATATTTTCATACAAATATATTCAAAGTAAATACAATTATCAAATATCATTAAATTATATAAGTAATTTGGAAAGCAACAAAAGTATTTGGAAATTCGATATTCAAACATATTTCTAACTTTTCATAAACTGCAAAATGGATAAGGTGTCCGGCAGGTGTCATCGACTGTCGGACACAAAACGAGTCCGAAATGCGGATACGTCAAGAAATTAAAGTTCCCCGTTCTACATAGCCCGAAACTAACCCATGGAAACGAAAAGTGAGCCAAGAAACAGAAACGTGAAGAAACAAATCGTCAAGCTGATAAGAATCGGTTCGTGTTTATATCAGCTTTACTATTTCAAGGCATGCAAATGACCTATGTTGCCAAACACAGCCAAAACAGCATAACAGCAAACTCGGAATGCTTATTTCACAATAACAAAAATCGAAAGAAAGAAAAGGCTATAAATACCGCATCTTCGGATTCCCAAAACCCAAGCAACAACCAGAGTAATAATCACCATCATCACACATTTAAACCACACTTAGAAAGAATATCCGATTTTTCGCCAATCCAGAAAGAAAAAAAATGAAGGGTGGAGTTATCGCAGTTATCGCAATTCTTGCCGTTTTCCAATTGGCTGTTCAACACGGGCATGCAGTTACATGCGGTGAGGTGGACGTATCTCTCATGCCGTGCATTAATTACCTAATCGGGCACGACAGCAGCCCATCACCGGCTTGCTGTGCGGGGGTAAAAGCGGTCAAAGGGATGGCTTCGACCACAGCCGACAAAAGGACTTGCTGTGGCTGTGTCAAAGCTGCCGCTAACCGCTACACCGACTTGAAAGACGAGGCGGCTCAGAGTCTGCCCGCCAAGTGTGCCGTTCAGCTCGACATTCCTATCTCTCGTACTGTCGACTGTACCAAGTGAGTTTTTTTTTCTGATTTTTTTTTTCAACAAGAACAAAAATAATTACTTTCTTTTTCGTTTATTATGATTTTATTTTATTTTTTGTTCTTTTTACGACAGGATAAACTAAGATGGGAAGAGGTATGAAGAAGAAGGGAGCTACGGTTTCATATATCAAACGATTAATATTAGAACTATGTTTATGTACGGAAAAAAAAGAATAAGTTGGGAGATTCTTGAATAATGGTTCAAGAAGCTCATGTATAATTTCTTGAACCTTTCAATATTATTAATGAATATTTTCTACTTGATATATATATATTTTCTTCTATTTTTTTTAAATGTTTGAAGTGAAGAAAATCAAGAATGATTAAAAAAAAAAAAAAAAAAACATATTACACACCAAAGGGTGCACCACGGTGCGAGCGCAACTTCAATAGGTTCATTAAAATGTGGGTTGCCTAATCGATCAACAATACCGATTTTAGAATATCATCGAAAAAGCTATGTCAAAACAACGGAGACAAGTAAAATTCCCCGAAAACATAATAAAGTTGACGAGACATGTGAATTAAAACTAAGCTACCAAATGAAAAAAAAAAAAAACTTTAGTTAATAATAATATTAAGACCAATCAAATCTATCAATCGGAACATATACATACGTTAAAGGAAGCATAACTTAGCTCAACGGGTTGTACCCGAGACCACGAACTTGGCCTATCCACGTGAGAGAAGTAACTACCTCGTTTTGCAATTGGCCTGCAACTTCACAAAAACTAGCTAAAACAAGTCGTCGTTAACTCGTGTTGAATTTCTTATCGTAGTTCGTTTTTTAATATAACAAAATGTTATTTAACGGTAAAAACTAAAATCCAATATAAAACCGGACAACTAGTTAGCAAGTATGTTCGGCCACAATCCTTTCCCTTAGAGCCTTGGTTGAGAGCATTGATAGGATTGATTAGATTGAGTAAGATAACATTGTTTCTGATAATGTAATATGGGATTGTTTCATTGTATTGTGTAATATTTGTAATCTATTGTTTGGAAATAAGGATTATAATCATCATTGGATATTATATGAAAAATCCAGTATACCCCTAATTATTAGCATCATGGGTAAATTACAACCACCCCTGAGGTATGGTCAATTTACGAAAAAACGCCTCTTGTTTGGGTAATTACATCTACCCCTCAACTATGATTTTTTTCTTACATTTCCACCCTTATGGTGTCAAATTCAACATAATCATCTAGATTTTGTGGAATGTGCTCTAGTTTGTACTCGTGTAAAAATACAGTTTCTGATGCACCACAATCTGATATATACAAGCCAAAAAACACATTATGATCATCTTACTTCAAAATGTGGAGTTCGAATGAGATAAAACAGGTAGAAAAGTGATAATATTTCATATAATTTCGAAGATTCCACTAAATTTGAAACCGCAAGGGTGGACGTGTAAGAAGATTTATAGTTGAGGGGTGGTTGTAATTACCCAAACAAGATGGGTGTTTTTGTAATTTAACCATACCTCAGGGGTTGGTTGTAATTTACCCTTAGCATTATTTCTAAAAAGCAAAATGGGGATTGTGGGATAATAAGGGTTGAGTTATGATGAAACAACATTCATATGTTTACTAAAATCCATACCCATACCAAAAAAATAGCTCGGACACGGAAACGGGGAAACGGAAAACGGGAACTTGGGGGAAACGGGTATATATTAAAATTTAAAAGTGTAGGAGTATATTTATAAATATACCCCTACATTATAAATATTTATAAATATACCCCTACATTAAAAAACGTGTCCGGAACGCAGATACGTTAAGATATTGAAGTTTCCGTGCTACATATCCCAAAACTAATCCATGGAAACAAAAAGTGAGCCAAGAAACAGAAAAGTGAAGAAACAAACTGTCAAGCAGATAAGAATTGTTTCATATTTATATCAGCTTTACTATTTCAAGGCAAGTAAATGACCTATGTAATATGTTGCCAAACACAGCCAAAACAGCATAACAGCAAACTCAGAATGCTTATTTGACAATAACAAAATTCGGAAAAAAAAAAAAAAAAAGGCTATAAATACCGCATCTTCGGATTCCCAAAACCCAAGCAAGAACCACAGTGATAGTAACCATCATCACACATTAAAACTACACTTAGAAAAATATCCGATTTTTCTCCAATCCAGAAAAAGAAAGAATGAAGGGTGCAGTTATAGCAGTGATTGCAATTCTTGCCGTTTTCCAATTGGCTGTTCAACACGGGCATGCAGTTACATGCGGTGAGGTGGACGTATCTCTCATGCCGTGCATTAATTACCTAATCGGGCACGACAGCAGCCCATCACCGGCTTGCTGTGCGGGGGTAAAAGCGGTCAAAGGGATGGCTTCGACCACAGCCGACAAAAGGACTTGCTGTGGCTGTGTCAAAGCTGCCGCTAACCGCTACACCGACTTGAAAGACGAGGCGGCTCAGAGTCTGCCCACCAAGTGTGCCGTTCAACTCGACATTCCTATCTCTCGCACTGTTGACTGCACCAAGTGAGTTTTTTTCCCATTATTTTTTTTTCAACAAGAGCAAAAATTACTCTGTTTTTCGTTTATTCTGATTTTTTTTTTTAACGACAGGATTAACTAAGATGGGAAGAGGTATGAAGAAGGGAGCAACGCTTTCATATATCAGACGATTAATATTAGAACTATGTTTATGTACGAAAAAACAAATAAGTTGGGAGATTCTTGAATAATGGTTCAAGAAGCTCATTTCTAATTTGTTGAACCTTACATATTATTAATGAATATTTTCTACTTGATATATGTTTTTTGAAAATTTTTTAAGAGAAGAAAATCAAGAACCATTAAAAAAACAAAAAAAAAAACAGAGTAGCCAATTAATGATTGAACTAAACATATTCAAATACATTTCATCGGAGCACATATTACACACAAAAGGGTGCACCACGGTGCGAGCGCAACTCCGATAGGTTCATTAAAATGTGGGTTGCCTTATCGATCAAAAATATCGATTTAAAATGTAGTCATCTAGCTCGCCAAACCTCACATTTTTTTCTTAACCATATTCTATTATTTCGAATTTCATCTCGAACAGGCTATCTCAAAACAACAAAGACAAGAAAAAATTTCCCGAAAAACATAATAAAGATGACGAGACATGTGTATCAAACAGAGCATATAATATACTTATGTTAAAGGAAGATAGAGCCTCAAGTAGTTAGTTACCGTAACTTCGCTCAATGGGTTGTACCTGAGACCACGAACTTGGCCCGCCCACGTGAGAGAAGTAACTACCTTGTTTTGCAATTGGCCTGCAACTTCACGAAACCGGACAACTAGTTAGCAAGTAAATGAGGGATTTTCTTACCCTCGTTGACAAGTATGTTCGGCCACAATCCTTTCCCTTCGAGCCTTGGTTGAGAGAGTATTGATAGGATTGATTAGATTGAGTAGGATAACATTGTTTCTGATAATGTAATATGAGATCGTGTCACGGTTGGAAGTTATGATTATAAGGTTTATCATAATGTAATGTAATATTTGTAATCTATTGTTTGGAAATAAGGATTAATCATGGATCATTGGATTATGTATGAGATATCCAATATACACCTAATTCTAGACTAATTATTAGCAATATTTCTAACAATATGGGACACAAATGTTAGTTTAAAGGCATATAAAAACCTATGTAGCACAGACACGGCAACGGAAACGGTGATACTGGGAAATGGACACGGGGAAATAGCATGTCTCAAAAATGGGGATTCGGGAACTTGGGGGAAACGTGTAAACATTAAAAGTGTAGGGGTATATTTATAAATATGCTATATAAACATATATATGATATTATTTAATATATAAATTATTTTTATATATTTTCATACAAATATATTCAAAATAAATACTATCATTTTGAATTGATCATTAAATCATATAAGTAATTCGGGAAGCAACAAAAGTGTTTGGAAATTCGATACTCAAACATCTTTCTAACTTTTCAGAAATTCCAAAATGACCCATAAGGTGTCCGGCAGGAGTCCTCGAGTGTCGGACACGAAACGTGTCCGAAACGCGGATACGATAAGAAATTGAAGTTTCCGTGCTACATAGACCAAAACTAATCGACGGAAACGAAAAGTGAGCCAATAAACAGAAACGTGAAGAAACAAATCGTCAAGCTGATAAGAATTGTTTCGTGTTTATATCAGCTTTACTATTTCAAGGCATGTAAATGACCTATGTTGCCAAACACAGCCAAAACAGCATAACAGCAAACTCAGAATGCAAGTTTCACAATAACAAACATCGAGAGAAAAAAAAAGCTATAAATACCGCATCTTCGGATTCCCAAAACCCAAGCAAGAACCACAGTAATAATCACCATCATCACACATTTAAACCACACTTAGAAAAATATCCGATTTTTATCCAATCCAGAAAGAAAAAAATGAAGAGTGTTATAGCAGTGATTGCAATTATTGCCGTTTTCCAATTGGCTGTTCAACACGGGCATGCAGTTACATGCGGTGAGGTGGATGTTTCACTAGTGCCATGCATTAATTACCTTATCGGGCACGACAGCAGCCCATCACCGGCTTGCTGTGCGGGGGTAAAAGCGGTAAAAGGGATGGCTTCGACCACAGCCGACAAAAGGACTTGCTGTGGCTGTGTCAAAGCTGCCGCTAACCGCTACACCGACTTAAAGGATGAGGCGGCTCAGAGCCTGCCCACTAAGTGTGCCGTTCAGCTCGACATTCCTATCTCTCGTACTGTCGACTGTACCAAGTGAGTTTTTTTTTGTTTCCCGATATTTTTTTCAACAAGAACAAAAATTTCTCTGTTTTTCGTTTATTCTGAATCCTTCTTTTTTTTTTTTTTTTACGACAGGATCAACTAAGATGGGAAAAGGTATGAAGAAGAACGTGCTGCAGCTAATGTATGAGGCGATTAATATTAGAATTATGTTTAGTTACCAAAAGAATAAGTTGGGAAAAAAAAAAAGACAGATTCTTGATCAATTGTTCAAGAAGCTAGTGTCAATTTATTGAACCTTACGTGTTATTAATGAAGAATTTCTACGTATAATTTCATCTATTTCAATTGCAATTTACATGAATTCAATATGTTAACCCGGAAAATCTTCGAAAAAAACATCTACTTCAGCATTATTGAAGCATAAACACCTCAAATTGCAAACTTCAAGTTCATAAATTATTTATTTTTTAAGCAATAACTTTTCCTATCAATCAGTACAAACAGTCAAGAACTACACCACGTTTCACTTCCAGCTTATAAACTACGACATTAGAACCACGATATACCCACATTTATCACGAAAATCAAGAAAGTACTCAATCAATAAACGAATCGAAGATATTCCAAATACGCTCATCATATCAACTTCAATAGGTTCATTAAAATGCGGTTTGGCATATCATCAACAATATCGATTTCACCATATACACATAACATAGTTTGCAAGCAACTCTCGACAAATTACACACATCAAATAGGAAACTTACAAACCGAATCCAATACGCCTCAGCAAATGAATATCTTGAATTCCGGCACTTGAGCTCCGACATTGAGATAGTTAACATCGACAACAACTTCCCCAAAATCCTCTTCGTACAATGTCCTCGCAATACGAACATAGTCGTGTACAAGATCTCGGTAAACTATCCCACCGGGACTCGCATCCAATGCGACCAGGACACCTGGCGCCAGCCAACATGAATCCGAAGAATTGCACGGCAGTGGAGCAAGCCATAATATATTCCTCAAATTCATCGAATTGTCGTAAGAAACATTCGATCCCGTTTGGCAATAGCCCATATAGACGGGGAATTTTTGCTTATCGTAAGCGGGGTATTCTTTAGCATGAAACAAAATGCCTAATCTACCGGATTCGTTTGCAATGAATAGGTGGCCGTGGAATAAATCGTAGCGGCTGAGAGATACATTGAGCCCTAATTCCGGACCGCGCTCGACAATTACGTCGAATAAGAATTCGAGGTAGGAATTCAAACCCTCGTCTATGAATTGCCACCCGTAAGGAGTTCTGGTGAGCTCGCACCGGGATTGATTTGATCCTTCGACGTCCGGAACGGTGATCGGAGTCGGATCTAGGGCTCGGTGGATGGCGCCGGGATCGCCGCCGGATTCTACGGCGAGGCGGGCGAGCTCCAGTACGGGCGCCGGAGGCGACGTTATCAGCTCGTCGATTTCGTTGCTGCTCCGATTTGACGGTAAGACGATGCTAGAACACAGCATTTGCCTTGCGGCGGTGGGCGGTGGGTTGTAAGGAGATAAGAATTTGAAGCATGAGCGTAGATCACGCGCCACCTGTGCGTTGACTGAGCTGGCCTGTTGTGGCGGGCCGAGGAGGGAGAGCAGGTCCGAGACTGTGGCTTTGGGCCTTGTTGATGGAGAGGGGGAATAAGAGGATTTGATTCTCCGAAGTGATAGAAACGGGGTGGCGGCGGCGGCGGTGGTGGTGGTGAAGGAGGCGGCGCCGGCGAGAGATAGGGAGAAGAGGAAGGCGAATTTGAGCGAGCTCATTGACTTCATATTTCCTTCTCAAAAAAACCGGGTTTTTTACCTGTAGCTAATTCGATAGGTATTCCGTAATAAAATGTATGGTAACTTACGAAAATACCTCCTGAGCTTAGGCTAAATAACGAAAAATACCCCTGACGTTTGTTCACAAAAAACTGTCGATTCTACCTCTTGCGTCAATTTGTCGAAGATACCATTAATGAAGTTGTTCATAAAATTCATGGTCTTGCTCGAGGTCCTGATGTAGACTTTACATGTTTCAGACTTTTTCTTTAATTTTTTTACGTATTTAACCGAAGGGTATAACGGACTTTACACATTTTCTATTTAAAAATTCGATCAACACTCAATAGTTAGTTAGAGGGGATTTTCAATAACTATGGATAAGTTAGGTATTTTTCGTTATGTCGTCTAAGTTTAGGGGGTTTTCCATAATATACCCTAAATGTATTGTGCTTTAAACGAAGCTACCAAATAAAAAAGTAATTATTGGTGTTGACTATTTTGACTCCACCAAATTACTAACCACACTCCATCAAATATTTTCTTCACAATTGAAAACGCCCGGCCCGATTTGTGGAAAACCCGAATCGGGTCGGGTCGGGTCATTTTTCTGTTACTTTGCCAATTGGTATATTATAATTGTTTTGTTGACAGTTGACGAAGAAGAAGAAGGTTGACTACTAATTACATACAGTGTTCCGATTTTGGGGGGAAAAGGCAGCTGTGTTTCTCTGCTAATGGGAATAATTTCCGGCATCTGCGGCTGCTTGCGGAGGAGGCTGATGGTAACGCCCGCCACAGCAGACGGTGGCGCAGAAAATTCTTCCGATTTGTTCTTTAAGCTGGAGCAGCTCCAGATTGCTACTAATTTCTTCTCCGATATCAACCAGCTAGGTCACGGCGGCTTTGGCCCTGTCTACAAGGTAAACCTCCATATATCATATATATATATATGTTCGCCAATTTGCTTTCAGTAATTCTATTAAATAAATAGAGATGATGATTTAAATGGAAAATTTTGTGTGTGTATTATGAAGCCAATAATATGTTTTGAATTCAGTCCTTTCCAAATATATATATATATGATAAATTACGGTCAACCCTCTGAGATAAGGTTAAATTACGAAAAAACGTTTGAGTAATTAATTACAACCACCCCTCAACTATGAATTTTCTTACACATTTACCGTTACAGTGTCAAATTTAGTAGAATATTCATGCTTATGTGGAATATTCTCCAGTTTGTACCCGTTTTACCCCCTTCAACCTTCATATTTTGAAACAAGATGATCATAAGATGTGTCTCTTGGCTTGTAAATATTATATTGTCGTGCAATCAGAAACAGTATTTTTGCGCAAACCGAGTTCAAAATAGAGTACATTTCACGGAATTTAGAAGATTATGTTGAATTTGACTTCATAAAGGTAGACGTGTAAGAAAATTCATAGTAGATGGGTTAAACAGGGGGGTTTTCGTAATTTGACATTACCTCAAGGGTGCGGCCGTAATTTACCCTGTATATATATTGGTTCTTTGCACGCAAATAATGGTGTACGTATATATGATTCAGGGATTGATGTCAAATGGTGAACAAGTAGCAGTTAAGAAGTTATCATTGAACTCAAGACAAGGCCTAAAAGAATTCACTAATGAGGTGAAATTGTTGCTTAGAGTTCAGCATAAAAACTTAGTCATGTTACTAGGATGCTGCGTCGAAGGACCCGAAAAGATGCTCGTCTACGAGTATTTACCGAACAGGAGCCTCGACTACTTTCTTTTCGGTATTTTTTTTTTCATTAAATTACCTCTTCTTTTTATCCGCGGGAAAACTAAAATTTGTAATTTAGATGATTAGGGTTCGTTTTTTTTTTTTCAAGATAAAAACAAGTCGCCGCTTGTAGACTGGTCGAAGCGGTTCCGAATAGTGAAGGGTGTAGCAAGAGGTCTTGTGTATTTGCACGAAGAAGCCCCGGAAAGGATAATACATAGAGACATAAAAGCGAGCAATATATTGCTCGACGATGCGTTGAATCCGAAAATCTCGGATTTTGGTTTGGCGAGGTTGTTTCCGGGCGAAGAGACTCATTTGAACACATTTAAAATCTCTGGAACTCAGTGAGTTCTCTTTCCTTTAAAAATCTTTACGGTATTTACGGAAAACTTTACGGTATTTTTTATTTTATTTTATTTAATTCAGCGGTTACATGGCTCCCGAATACGCGATACATGGTTATCTGTCTGTAAAGACCGATGTCTTTAGTTTCGGCGTTTTGCTTCTGGAGATTGTGAGTGGAAGGAAAAATCATGATAAGTTTCTCGGATCTGAAAAGGCCGACCTGCTAAACTATGTACGTAAACCTGATTAATATATTTACGTCTCGTTTGGCTGGAGAGATTAGCCATGATTAACTAAATAACTGCACTTTATTTTAATTTCATCTAGGCTAATCCTATTTTGGCAAACCAAACGAGGCCTTACTTGTTTATTATATCTACAGGCATGGAACTTATTTCAAGCTGGGAAATCAGAGGAGCTAGTGGACGAAAGCCTCGAAAAATATAATTCCGAAGAAGCTATATTATGCGTTCAGTTGGGATTGTTGTGTTGTCAAGCAAGTGTTTCGAGTCGGCCGGATATGAATACTGTCCACGTCATGGTATCGAGTGATTCGTTCACTTTACCTAAACCTGGAAAACCGGGAATTCATGGACGCGTAAGCCATTGGACTAGTACTACCACTTCTGCTGGTTTTACTAACATCACCAACGGTAGCACCACCCGTACTGGTGGTGCTACCAGGGCTGAGGCAATTGGTGAGGACTACTCAAGAAATTCGATATCGTGTTCCTCCATAGATGAAGGTAGATAAGTTGTATATATTACTTGTCGTCATTATGTAATTTTTTTAATTTTTTTTAATTATTTATCATGGTTTGATCTCTCTAGTGAGGCTCGAGTATCTTCTTCGCTCTGTTTTCGGGGATTTGAACTCCATGTACGAAATGGTAGATGAAGTAATTGTTTTAATGGAGTTTGTGGTGTGGAAATTTACTTTGAATAGTTGCCTTTTTTGTTTGCAAGTTCAAAAAAACTTGAGTCGTACGCTTATGAGCCAACTCGAAAAAACCTCGAACTAGAATTCGAGTTTTTCGAGCTCGAGCTTTCTGACGAGTTTTGTTTTAGTTGTTCGTGAGCTCACAAACCGGCTCACGACCCTTATTTTTTTATTTTATTTAAATAATGTATAATAATAATATAAAATATTATAGAAATAATTTAAAAAGAACATATAAATATTAAAATATGTATAATTACAGTTTATTGTTAATTTTGTAATGTTTTTATCATAATCTAAATAATTTTTATTAATTAAAAATTAATAATAATTTTTTTTTTTTAAAAGAACCCAAAATGACCTCGCTCGACAAAATAGACTCGAGCTCGAGTCGAGCCAAAAAAAAAAGAGTAACTCGACAAGCTCAAACTCAACAAAATGAACCCGAACTCGAGCTCGAGCCTGCCAAAACAGGCGAGCTCGGCCCATTCACACACCTACCTAATATGCACCATAATTAGTTAATTTAGAGAGAAATATTTTTCATAATCTTTTAAAGCGTAGTCTGCATACTTCGATTATTACAGTCCGGTAGAAATATTTTGTTACTAATACCCTTATACTTCATAATTTGTATTACTTAACAATTAGGATAATATATATATTATTACAGTACTTAGTTAACTTAAAATTAATTGATTAAGGTTTAGCAAATAGGTAATACACCTATCAACAAAAAAGTGAGCCAGAAACAGAAATGACATATGCTGTCAAACAAAGCCAAAACAGCATAACAGCAAACTCAGAATGCTTATTTCACACACACACACACACACACACACACACACACACACACACACACACACACACACACACTAAAAAGGCTATAAATACCACATCCTAGGAGTTCCCAAAAACCAAGCAAGAATCAAACTCATCACACATTCAAAACCACACATCAGAAAAATATCCCATTTTCTCGAAAAAGAAAAAAGAAAATGAAGGGTGGAGTTATAGCAGTGATCGCAATTCTTGCCGTTTTCCAATTGGCTGTTCAACACGGGCAGGCAGTTACATGCGGTGAGGTGGACGTATCTCTCATGCCGTGCATTAATTACCTAATCGGGCACGACAGCAGCCCATCACCGGCTTGCTGTGCGGGGGTAAAAGCGGTCAAAGGGATGGCTTCGACCACAGCCGACAAAAGGACTTGCTGTGGCTGTGTCAAAGCTGCCGCTAACCGCTACACCGACTTGAAAGACGAGGCGGCTCAGAGCCTGCCCACTAAGTGCGCCGTTCAGCTCGACATTCCTATCTCTCGTACTGTCGACTGTACCAAGTGAGTATTTTTTTTCCCTATGTTTTTTTATGAACAAGAACAAAAATTACTCTGTTTTCGTTTTTCCTGATTTTTTTTCTTACGACAGGATCAACTAAGATGGGAAGAAGTATGAAGAAGAAGAAGAATGGAGCTGCAATTTATATATGAGCCTAATTAATAATAGGACTATGTTAATGTACCAGAAGAATAAGTAGCAAAGAAAAGGACAGATTCTTGATCCATTGTTCAAGAACATTGTTCTTCGAACTTTACTATTAAATTAAGCCTTACAAGTTTACTTCTTCTAATTCGTGTTTACTTTTTATACAATATCCAAGCAGATCACTAAAGACTTTTATTATCCAACAAACATCCCAAGTCGTCACATAAATACAAAGTAAACATTAGATTCATTTTACGCTATACATATAATTAATAAGGTTCGAATATGCCAGTCGTATTATCAAAATAAAACAAGTTTTCTATCTTCACTTGAACTTAGAAAATAAAAGAAACATTTATCAGATTTAGAAATGATGAGATTAAAATTTCGCAGCACTTCTTCTTGCTTTTATTTTCACTAGCACTGCACTCAATTTGCTAGTTTTTGTGATGCATTACTTAGAAGATGGATAACAATGTAATATAATCATGAGAGACTTTTCATATTGAGAAGATGGATAACAATCCAACAAATAGTTCATGGGCGAATGGCGAAATTTGAGTTATTTACTAAAGTAGAAAGAGATTATTGGGTTTTCCATCTGCAAATTCCCTTGATCATTAAATAATTGAGGCAAGAGATTAACTTACTTGAAAGTTATCCAGTCAACAGCGTGGTCTTCTGCGATCATCTTTTTTAACAGTTCCGCTGCCAACCTCCTCTTTTCATGAGACAAAAAAATATTTACTGTCAAGCAGCGATGGAGAATGAGCGGTACTAAAGATATTTGCTTTCATTTCCACAAACGAAACGATTTAGTCGAGACGGACTCTCTTGTAAGAACCATGTAATGTAACATGTGCATAGTTCTTGAACAGTTTCAAGTGGTGCAATATCGAAACAAAAAACATAACACAAGATGAAATGTTAAATGAACTAGATACCTTCTTGGAAGCAGCGAAACAGTTCAAGAAGATCACATGGAGTGGATCACTTTATTGTTTAAATACTTTCAACTATCGACCAGAACCTTCATGGTTTATTCCCCATAAAAATCATCTTTTATTTCTTTGATTTTGCAGTAGCCCATTTGAAAAAACCACAGTTTGCTTCAGGATTAGATGCAGGTCCCTGAGATATATTCCATCAAGAAAAAACATATTTATTCAGAGAAATTTCCTTCTGGATAATCATAATAAAGTTGTTCATATTTCAATGATTTCTGTATCCAAAGCACGTCAATCTCACAAAGATTTTCTAAACATTATGAGTATGCAGTAATAGCATTACTGCGACATAACGCGCACACAAAAAAAAAATTATATATACATGGAGGAACGGTTACCAATTTTTAACAAACACAAACACCGGAAAGTGATTTTTTTTTTTCTTTTTTTTTTTTTTGGGGGGGGGGGGGGGGGTTGGGGTGTAGCAATTATAGCAATAATTACCTCTGCACGTGCACAGACATAAAATCGGCGCCCTGAATTGGGTCCAGATTTCTTCACTACCCGAGAAACACAAGATTCATTGTGGCCCTTGCAAAGAGGTATGCTAGTGTGCATAAGTTTCTGAATCCTTTGCCACTCAACTACGGCCACATTATTCTTTTCTTTTTCTGAAGGTTGAGACGAATCTTCTTGTGTTGATGCACTAGGTTTTGACTCCCGCTCCTCCGCGGAATCATGTTCACCACCTTCAGTTAAAGTTTCATGCGGTCCACAATCAGGAATGGAGATATCTGCTTCAGTATGCTTCTCAGTAGCAGAAAAATTGCTTGAATCACCGTGTACAGCTACTTTTTTCTGGAAAAACGATTTGAGAGAGAGTTGAGACGACTGACTTTCTCTTGTTCTTTTCTTGCAAACCACAGATGGAGATGTTTTTGCACGGCCGTTTTTAGAGCAAGGTGATTCAAGAGATGATTCTTTATGTGAGCCTTCAGAACAGTTGACCAATGTAGAAAATACATCTTTCTGAATGAAGTTAGACGAAGGTGGGCTACATTCATCTAGGGGTCTTTTAGTTAGTTGACTGCACCTTTTAACAACAATACTCTCATCTGAAACAGAACTGGGTCCTCCAGATAAGTTAATTTCTTCAGCAGGTTGCCTTCTCGGAAACATTGAAACTGCAAATCGCGTCACATGGATAAATAACAATAGAGGATATATTTGCGAATTTTCATACACACATTACAACTGAAAAGGAGCTTTAAATGTACAAAGCAAAGTATCCAGGACGAAGGCACACTAAAATGAACCCACAAATCACTTCCCAAGGCATTCTGGGCAAGTTTATTCACCAGGGCCAAAGCAATGTTTCATAGGGGTTATATAGAGCCTAAATTTGGGATCAAATTTTAGCAAACAGCGAAGTCAGGGTAGAGGATGTTGGTCATCACAGCCATATAAAGGGATGCAAAAAACAAATTTTAAATGTCATTTCACATTTTCATTTCCATTCCAAATAAAGGGATGCAAAAAAACAACATATCTCAATTATGAGAAATACGCACCTAGCGTCTGCTGACATCCAGAGACCTGACGACAATATCTAGTCGACAATGAAGGAGTGTTGTGCTGCTGAATATTGGGAATCTCCACCAAGCACATATATACAGGAACGTGATCCGAGCCCTCCAATTTGGCATTTTTTGCCTTTATGTCTTTATGCCTGAAATTTAAAAACAAAATGGAGGAAAACATTTATAATAGAAAAAATGATCCAATTGGAACATAAAACAGTGAATACAAAGTGTGCCTTCAGGTTTAAGCAATTAAAGTGGGAACTGCAATTAAAAAAAAATCTACAGACAGCAATTACTAGTGATAAAGCATCATCATCCGACAAAAACCCAGACTAACATATTTATTCACCAACTCATTAGTCAGTGGTCCCTCGTCCCTTACCTAGGTGTATTACCGGGTTTCCAACGTTGGAACTGCTTTAATATGTCGCACACTTCAACATGACAAGCCACAAGACTATGTCCTCCATTTTCTTCTTTATGTAAGCATGGCCCAGCACAAAGAATGTGGTCAATACGTGACCCATAGTTGAACTCCTCCGCACCAGAATTTGTTGCCCAACATGTATAGGCATCTCTTCTATAATATTATTAGAGAAGACAAAAGGGGTTGGTTCAGTAGCATTGCGACAAATGTATATAATATTAAATACACCGTATGATAGTTGATTGCATACACGCCTTATCGATATGAAGATGATTTTACCACAGACAAGGATAAATACAAAAGTAAAAAAGCTTTAAAACCTCTCGGGATGCTTTTCTCGGAAAACGTCAAAAAAGGAACCTCCATTTCTCACCAGTAAAGATCTAAACCAAGTCCTAAACCTGCAAAGTTGAAAGCTAATTTTAGATTATCTATTTCAAGTCATTTAACCATTACAAACCTTCATTTCTTATGCACAATCAGAACTCAGAAGACAACATACAAACTCACTCATTTTTCTCAAAATCTGGTCCAGCATCACAACGGTCTATAGCAGAGGGAGCAATGTTGAGATCCCCAACAACAAATATCCTTCGTCCTTGAGCTAGAAGAGATTCCCACCTTTTCTACAACAAATCACTACCATTATTCTATAAGCACGAAACTTAGAAGCCAAGATCAACAGCAAATACAATGAAAAGAATGTTATATTCAAAAAGGAGAATAGTACCAATCTTGTCCGAGCAAAAAATCAAAACTGCAATACTACTTTTCAGAGTATGAAAATAATAATGTTGAGAAATATGCATGTAACGATACACTATAATATGTAGATCAGTCTCATAGTTCAAAATTCATGATCTTCAAGCATATGGGACAAAAGAATTACCTGTAGTATGTTAAAAAATTTGAGCTTAAATTCGATTCTCTCTCTATCATCGCGTACAGCTCTAGGTCCGTACACATTGAAAAGAACTGCAGATAATTTTTTTTTTAAAACACTGTTACTAACTTATGGAATGTAGCAGTTCAAACTGAGGCTGTAAAACCATGGAAAAAAGGACTGCATACGATCAAGTTCTGACAGTGTGTCATATGCAGATATTCATTGCAGTACTAATCCACTAATGTTTTGCTACTCACCAAAATGGTCATGGTCAGTTACGACACAACGTCCTTCACCATCAATGTTCAGAAGCTCATCAGTGGAAAAATCTTCAAGCCCTTCCACTATTGATGGATATTCAGTTTTCCTTGACCCAAACACTGGCAAAATCTTAAGAACACCAGTGAAGCCCTCCTCTGCAGAAACTGGCAGAGCTACTTCATTGCTCGAAAATGCAGACTTGACACGGCAAAATGTAGCCACACCTGATTAAGCATATATCATAAGTAAACTAGCTTCATCTTCCTCAATATAATACCGATTAAGCTGATTCTGTCTAATCACATCATATATCGAAATCACTAAGGATCTAAATGCGCAAGAGAAGCACTTATAGTCGCACTGCCTTTGGAATTGTTTTGGTAGTTTACACAGCATAATGCTGAACAAAGACTAGGCTTTATAATTTGCATTTAAATACTCAAATTACATAACATGCATGCAACAGTGCCTCGGTATTCTTGTTAGTTATCAGCCCATTGATGTATTTTTTCGGTATATGCAATTTTCCAACTTGAAAAGAAAAATGAAATAGTCTCCCTAACAGGGTTTCGGAACATGGATACAATGAGAAAGCGATGACAATAAGTCTGGGGAAAAAACGAGACCAAGTCCGGATTGTACTCATTTTAAAACTCGAAAAATTAATTTTAGCCATCTTCTCTTTAAGATGAGCTAATAATGGACAAATGGCACTATCGTCTATCAATACTTGATTTTGCTTTCGATATGTAATTCATTCTCTAACGCCTTAACCGAAGAGTAAGCAACTAAGCATTTTAGAGCTGTTTTCCTGAAATTATCCACTCTTTTCAGAGATGTTTACATTGTTCTCTGAAGAAACATGAGACTCGTGCCTAAAGTCACCCAAACCGTCTGAATAATTATGTTCTCTGTAGAAACATTTCACTCACGGAACGAAACGCCTAATTGCCGAATTCCTCTACTGACAAATGCAATCAAAAATCCAAGAACAAAATCAATGAACTCCAGTAACTATTGCATTATATAAATACATATACAGCAAATGAAGAAATCACCACCTGAATATCCGGTTCGTCCTTTATCGGAAGTGCGGGTGCAGGAGAAAAATGACTCGTAACCCTCCGCCTGCACCAAATCGGCTCTCATTTCTTGCTAGAACAGCTTCGTTTCCTATGAATTATTACAGAAATAATCAGTGAGAGAATCCAAATTGATGTATGTATGAAAGAAAAAAAAAAACCTGAAAACAAATGATATCGGCGTCGAGAGAATCGAGAAATCTACGAAGAGAGCCGAACTGCAAAACCCTAGGCCGCAGCCCGTTCACGTTGTAGGTCACTATCTTCATCCCTTAACTCTGTTTCTGATTTTTTTGGAGGGAGAAATTGCGGCGGTCGCCGGAGCCGGATTGGTTTTGTATTTGTGCCCTTTTGAGTTAATTACGCATCGTGTTATATTTTTGAATCTTTTGGTTATATACATATTGATATTAGGTTGAAAATTGGGACCAAATTTCGGATTTCCGCTAATTCGGATCTGGAATTTTACGATTTTGCCAAAATGGTTTTTATTTTGAATTATAAAATTTGGCTTTTCGATTTTTCTGATTACTTTCGAACAGAGGTTCCCGTTTCCAATTCGATTCAATTTCCGAAAATTCCGATTTTGCGACATTTATAATTCCATATTACTACGTATGTTGTATTTTTTAGAAAATGGATTTCTTACACTAAAAAAATCAATTTTCTTTTTGAATTTCGTCGATTTTTTATCTAAAAATTTTCGATTTTGGAACAAGTTTTTTTCATCTCAACTGATAAAATTTCAAATCCGGATTTTTTAACGGAATTGAGATTGGCTTTTGACTTTCGAAAAATATTGGAAGTGATAATTCCGATTCAGATTTGTACGATTTTCCACCACTAATATGTATGTACTTGGATTCTTGTAGGGGTGCTGATCCGGGAATATCCCAACATTTCGGCCCACTATACAAGACAACCCAAAGTAAGGCAAAGCCCGTTAAAATAGAGCACCTAAGAAATAAATAGACGAGCAGCAAGTGAACTAGCGAGAAGGCGAGCAACTAGCAAGCAACGTACCGCTTAGTATTTTGACAACATTTAATGTATGTCTCATCACAGTCACTTCAGGCAATGTTTGTTACTTTTACATGCAGTTAATAAATTGACAAGACATAGTAAATGGATTAGATGGAATACGGTATTCGGAGATATTTTTACCAAAGTAATTAGACGGATTAAACTGAATTGAAGGTAGAATTGAAGTCCCGACCCTCCGCTATAAATGCGATGCAATGTAACAACACCCACCTTATTACTCATAAACTACAAATAGGAACCATTAGAGAAAAACACTGATTTCGCCCTCGCAGTTCTAACTCAGGCCCAAGTCCGGACCTTTCTTTTTTTTATTTTGCAGATCTTACTTAAACAGATATCAATTCCAAAGCAAAGCAGAGATTTGACCTGATCATGTGCCATTACCGAAAAATCAAATCAAATATCAAAATATTGAGTCTTTTTGAATCGTTTCGAATATATTGGTACTTTTTTTTTAAAGACGAAATTATTTGATTCATACACATACACTTTAGGAGAAAAAACGAACCACAAATATAATGAACCATTTTTTTTAAAAAAACACTTCATATATTTTTTTGCGCCACAAACAAGCAAGCGTTAGTGCGTCGGATTTTGGTCCAGGCAAAAACCCTCTGACAATCAAATCAATGATAAAAGCTTGAGAGAAATAGAAAGAATCTTAATATATGAGGAATGATTAAAAATAAAATGAAAAATCTATGATTATGTTATTTACAAGTTTGATTAATTTGATTATGGATTCTAAGCGTTACAATAAATTAATTTAAGCCCAAAACAAACAGTGCCAGAAAAAAAAAAAAAAAAAAAAAAAAAAAAAAGTGAAGTATTAAAACTGCTAAAGGTGATAAAAACTGTTTCATTTTTCATCAGCTTTACTATTTCAAGGCATGCAATATGACCTCTCTCTCCCAAACAAAGCCAAAACACCATAACAGCTTCTCAGAATGCTTATTTCACACACACACACACACACACTAAAAAGGCTATAAATACTACATCCTAGGAGTTCCCAAAACACAAGCAAGAACCACAATAAACAATCAGCATCATCACACATTAAAACCACACATCAGAAAAATATCCCATTTTCCCGAGAAAAAAAAATGAAGGGTGGAGTTATAGCAGTGATCGCAATTCTTGCCGTTTTCCAATTGGCTGTACAACACGGGCATGCAGTTACATGCGGTGAGGTGGACGTATCTCTCATGCCGTGCATCAACTACCTAATCGGGCACGACAGCAGCCCATCACCGGCTTGCTGTGCGGGGGTAAAAGCGGTAAAAGGGATGGCTTGTTGTGGCTGTGTCAAAGCTGCCGCTAACCGCTACACCGACTTAAAGGATGAGGCGGCTCAGAGCCTGCCCACTAAGTGTGCCGTTCAGCTCGACATTCCTATCTCTCGTACTGTCGACTGTACCAAGTGAGTTTTTTTTCTTTTTCCTATGTTTTTTTAATCAGCATCCACAAAAACTATAGCAGTTTTTATTTATTTATTTATTTATTTATTTATTTATTTATTTAATATTTCGTGTTTTTTATGACAGGATCAACTAAGAAGGGATTACGGGAGGAGGTATGAAGAAGATTGGAATGGAGATGTAGTTTATATATGAGATGATTAATAATAGGACTATTTATAGATAGCTGAACAAATAAGTTGGGACTTGATCTATGGTTCAAGAACCTCGTTTCAATAACTAAAGCTTCATCGAACTCTATCGTTGAGCTTTTCATATTATTATGAAGTATTTATACTTATTATATTTATACTTATTTCTATTTCAATTTGCTTGAACCTAATCTATGTCTATTGAAACTCTTGCATAATCATCTACTTCACGCAATAATTAAAGCAGACACCGTATCTCCACAATAATCACAAAAGAGACACAGAGAAGACACAAATATCAAGAACGCGAGGAAACGGAAAGTCAAGACATCGAATAAATAATTGAATTTAAGATAATGAAGCACATTCATCCGAGCACTTATACCACAGAATGAAATGATAAAGGGTTCACCGGAGCAACTTCTTTAGGTTCATTAAGTTATTGTTGGCATATCTTCACAACATATTTTTTTAGCCGCATGACAAAACTAGAAGTGTTTCTCATCAAGTCAAAAAGAATATATGATGGGGTAATAAATAAATAAAAAAAGGTAACGGGGGGTCAAATTTCTATAATTGACTGATTAGTCCAATTCAGAGGGATCAACAGACCTTCAAGAGCAGCAATTGTGTTCCATTGCAACGCCGTGAACCCAAAACCGAAAGTTGTTTGACCAATTTGCCCTCCTTGCCTCTTAGTTATATCTCATCAACCTATGGGATGCCGTCTCCTGCACATTTTTCAAGTAAAACAACAATGTAAGGCATATTACTTAATAGATGCTTTTTTTATGTTCTTAATTATCGGCATTAATAGCCCTCTGCCTCGTCTCTTATTATTATGTCCCCATTACTATAATAAGAATATGCTACTCAATAAACTGAATAAAGAGTGTTGTATAATGGAGATTTAAAGGGCTGGAAACATGTTAAAAAGAAAAAAATACACCTTATAAAAACAACATTATGTAATCTAATTTAACAGAAAACTAGATTAATTGGATCTGAAATGCTACCTCTTCGAACGACTACGATCTTGGTCATAGTCCATCACTCCACCAAGTTCAGAAAAGATCTCTCCATGCCCTCGGGGATCCATGTTTGCCTGGTTTGAGGTGGTAATCTCTGCCACAACGTAAGTAAGAGAACATCGACCAATATATCCAGAGCTTGCATACATACTTGTTCAAGTAACATAATTTAGACGATAACTATACAGCAAAGCTATCCAATCAAATGGCAACTAAACAACTTGCGAAATATAAACATTCTTAAAATAAAGTCTAGTAACGTCTTCAGGTGGGCGGCTCAAGCAGAGACAAAAACTAGTTGACGCAGAGTTTGAACTTATAAAATCAGTTTGATAGCAATAGATAACATCCAAGTTAAATCAAGATAGGCTCAAACAACCTCGACCGTATCATTTCATGAATCCAAATAGACACTCAAGTTATTTCCCTTCACTGTCTAGAAATATTTGCATGTACTGTTTCAAGTTATTTGCCTTCACTATCTAGTTATATTTTCATGTACTGTTTCAACTTAATTGCCTTCACTGTCTAGAAATATTTTCATGCAACGGCTGATAGCATATAATTAGAAACAGAACATAGTGACAGTTACCTTCAAAGTTAGTGTCTTTTTTGCTTCTTCGACTCTTTCATCGACTTCTTTTCTGTGCTTCTTGTCCATTTCACCCATTGTATCCGCCCATTTGATCTTCTCTTGCATTGAGACAAGAAGATTATCCGATGTGGTCAGCCTGACAAATTATCAAGCAAGATTCAAATACAAGAGGTGTTATACATATGCCAATACAACTGGTAGGGAAATGAAATAAAGGATCAAAATAAACTAAATGAGATACAACCTCATTCTGTATAAACAAGTAGAAGGCCATAAAACTCAATGCATTGGAACCATGCTTGTATATTCTATTACATCACTATTCAAGACGGAGAATGAGGTCTCGGGATTAAGACTTCAACAACCAGATAGAGATCCACTTATTAAGTCGTATATGCTAAGCCACTCAAACTAAAAAGAACCTAAGCAATGTGAAACCTTACTTCACTAGTATAACCCCACCCCACCACCAAAAACAAAACAAAAAAAAAAAATTGCCAGGTAGCAATAGTTACCAATTATCTAGCGTTTGAATCATACTACCCAGTTGTCCAGGTCTGAGATCCCTCCCTGCTGCAAATTGCACCTGTAAGGCCATTGACACTTGCGTGAGATACCAAATTACAAGTCCGATATACGGTTAGGTTACCAGAACATTAGAGTAATACCTCAAAGCATCTTCGCAACTGATCCAACTTTCCTCGGACTATTCCCTGCCCACAATAGCAGAAACGTAATCAGCATAACTATCGACACGCTTTGTTCAGTTATAGTGTGTCCATTAACTTTATACTCAATAAAGAGCATAGTTTAGGTTCTAAACATGAAGCATAAAGAAATTCGGATTGACAAGAATGGAATAAGAACAAAGGGGGTGGGGGTATGTAAAAGAAGACAAAAACAAAGTGGATGAACCCATGAACACACACAAGATTTTGTTGTCTACTGCAACTTCCTCTCATACGTGAAATGATATGAAGTGTTAAATAATTGTTGCCAGGGAACAAAAGGCTTAAACTATAAAACTTACCACATACATGCAGTCGTTGATGAGAAAATCTTCCAACTCGCGAACATTTGAAACATCCAACTCTTGCATCAATGTATCATATGGCAATATCTGGGCAAAAGGCCAAACAAAATGCTCAATAAACATGGAGAGACAATTTTCATTTCATCCTAAAAAATCATAATGCATTAGGCAAAAGTATAGGCCAATATATATAGATAGAGAAGGTTTTTCCCACGCGAAATATAGTTGCAAGGTTTGATAATTAACAAGCAAGAATAGGGGCCAAAGAAAAAGGTCAGGAAAACAGTAGTAACAGATCATATAATGATTGAACCCATTAATGAGTAGTTTTAGGATGGAAAGTTGGAAAAAACTATTTCCCCATATTCTTTAGAATCTTCACAATTCACAAGCAACTTTTTTAAACAGATATTAAAGCGAATCGCACCTTCCAAATTAAAAAGAAAACTATAACAAAGTTAGTGTCAGGGTATACAGTTTCACCTGGAACAGGTAATTTAACATGGACAAACAGTTTTCAACATTTCCTGATGTTGCAGTACACACACATCACATATACACAGAAAATGCATGATAAGCTACCTTTTCTGTCTCAGCCAGAGTAAGCACGGTCAGCTGTTTCAGCTTGAGGACTTGATCAGGAACTAATTGTGGAAGTCGATTAGCAACACCTGCATAGGAACATAAACTGTAAAATGCATCCAGGATAAGAAAACTCAAATCCATGAGAAGTTACACATTTATAGGAGCAATATGCATTATATTTTATTTGCATCGTACAAACAAATAAATGAAAGGGTTCAGCTAATATTTTTGCTAGCATTTAAATGAAGGCTCTCTTTTTTCGTAAGTGCAGTATAACAACTGTTAGAGAAGTGCCTGAATATTAGAAAGATACATATCTGCCTAGCATAAATCAGTGGGCTAAGATGTTTGGATACACAATAAAAAACATGAAGAAACTCAAGGAAACAAATGGATATGCACAAGTCACTTCGTTGCTGGATCTAACAGCACTGTAGAATGGAGCTGGCACAAAATTGCCTAAACCTCAATAAGCCCCTCTATCAGAAGTTTGCACCAGTGTCTAGTCAAATATCTAGAGTAAATTGAATATATTCGGTTTACATCCTCCCATTAGTATCTGTTGTGCCATACCCATGAATCATGATTAAAACTATAAATTACCGACTTAAAACTCCTAGTTAAGAGAATAGTGCAGCAAAATGCAATACTGATTTTGCCAGTGACGGAGTTTGTATACTAAATATTTCACCCCAGGCACGAGTTGTTGAAGTCCAAAAATATGAAGGTGGATTGCTTAGGAGAATTTTTTTTTCTAACAAATAATGTCGAGCAATTCAATAAATGATGAAATTTGAAGTAAAATAAATAACATAAAATAGGGAAATTGAATCTTACGCTTGTATTCACTCCATGTACCATGTGCAAACATGCGAAGCAAATCAAGGAATGTACTACTGTCAGTTCCTTCAAGCTGTACAAAGACATATTCATTAAGAACATTATAAGAAAAAGCAATAATAAATATTTCATAAAAAAAAAAAAAAAAAAAACGAGGTGAGCCATTTAACAATTTCAATTACGACTTTAGGTAATCGAGAATATCAAGGGCATCTCTCTTTAGTATCACATTATATAGTGAAATCACAATAGATCGTCTAAAAATTAAATAATCTGATTTGCTTCGATAAATTCCTAATTTTAAAACTCCAAAATGAGTTCGATTTTTCCACCGTTCAGTTTCAATCTCTGCAATCAATACAACAAAAATCACTTGTCCAAAACAACATTCTTATTCTGCAATTAACACATATATAACCCAAAACGCATAAAAAAAAAACATCACAAATTAAATTAACCAACATAATCACAAGTAAGAAGTTACAAACTTCAGTAACAAAACTAAATTAAAAAAAATATATATACAACAATTGGAGAAAAAGGGCATGCCTGAAGGACGTTTGGAACGGCGAGAATCTCGGAGAAAGCAAAAAGGGAGGGGTGTGAAGTAGCCTGAACGACGACGTTTGAGAGCGCCGGACCACTGAGAATCGAAGCTTGCTTCACAAAAAAGTCAATGTGCTCCGATTGCTTTTCCTCAATATCCATTATAATTGATCTTCACCAAAATAAACTAATCAAATTACACAGAATTAAGCGCGTGAGTTTCTTGTTCGCATGTACGTATGTATATCTTCTCAGCAACAGCAACAATGGAGATTGAAAATCTCGGCTTCTGGTTCTAGTGATCAAGCTCTAGGGTTTGAAAAATTAAAGAGGGATTTTCTTAGTTTACATTTACCCTTTTCTGAAGGGACTGCCGTATTTATACGGATTTTGTATAATTTAAAAGCCCAATTTGACGGACCGGGCCGGGTTCAATTTTTTGTGTTCTTATTGGATAAAATTAAATTAAATTAAATTAAAATTGAAGGCCCGTTTGTTGCCGCCACTATTAAGTCAATATATTTATTAGTAACATATTCGCTTAAAAAGATCTAATTAATAGTTACGGTACACTTGCGAAGGATGGGATGAATATCGTTTTAGTTTAATAATGTTGTTTCGATTTCAAACGTGATTTTGACTGTTCTCGAGTATGAATTCGATAAAATTCAAAACACAAATATGTAATTCTTAAAGTTAGCTTTATAGTTTAATTTGAATCATCAAGATCCGGATGTCGGTTGAGAAAAATATGAATGAATCGATGAACATTGACCACAACTTTGATATTTTGTGTTATCTAAAATTCAAAATGTAATTGATTTATGAATAATTTTGTCGACCAATATTCAGTTTAGATGGTTTAGGACCGTTATATTAGAGAACTACTAGCATTTTTTCCCCAATGCGATGCATGAGATCGAATTTTAAAAGTAAAAAAAAAAGTAATCAATTTAACAAATCAAATTTCTATCTTCATTTCTTAAAAAGAGGTTCAAGCTATAAGTTTTTTCACGACCCGTGTCAGTTTTGATAATATAGTTACAAAATTAGTAAAAAAAAATATTAAAAATAAATAATTACGAAAATCAACAATAAAATGGTCAAAATCACGTACGGAATTGAATACGCCATAAATAATTGGTTAGTTAGTAACGAGTTAATCCAATGTAAATTAATCTAACATATGTAATTGAATATGCCATAAATATTATAAGAACTACATAATAATAACAATAATAATATTTATTTATTTATTTATTATTATTATTATTAAAGAACTTGAAATTAATTGCCCAATAAATAAATCGTTGTAACCATTTTCTTTGTTTACTACAGTATTTCGACTGAAGTCGTGATTCAATTATTCGCATCTCTCATATTGCATCGTCGTCTGTGTGTGTTTTTTACTGTGTGCGAATAATCGGATGGCGAATTCGGCGGCGGATGCGCGAAGCAACAGAAAGGCGGTCCAAGCTACGAACGACGATGCCTCCGCCAGCAAGCTGTAGGTTTTTCTATATTCCTCTTTCTGCATTTATTTTCCTTCTCCGATAAATTAGTTATGTTGAGATGTAAACTGATATTTTGTAGAATAATCAAACCCTGATTGTACGGGCAAATCTAGGTAAAATGAAATTTGAGGGAAAATGGAGGAAAATTGAAAAAGTACTCACGTATTATTTGAGTTGTACCTTTTTTCCTGCTTTTGGGGGCTTTTGGGGATTGTTCAAAGTTTAAGGCGAGCATGAAATATGTTTGATTCTTTTAATTAATTTTTTTTCCTCCTAATTTTGTTGATTTTATACTGTGAAGAATGTTTGATATCATCCAAGTAATTTAACTGAAAATTGAAGTAGTTTGGTTAAATCTGCCGCAGTTTTCAGAAATTAACCTAATAGAAATGGCTAAATGTAAAAGACTGTCTAAGCCGGTTGTTAAAACACTGCATAATGTACATGTCCGAGCATCCATCCGTGACTTGTGAATGTGTGAGAATTTCATATTTTCTTGCAATATGTGGTGTAGGGCCTGATATCTTTCGATTATGCTTCTATTTTAAGTTTTTAACCAGTTTGCTGATGATCTGTATTTTTCTTTAATTTTCGAAATGTAAAACAAATTTAAAAGCAAACTTACACCGTAGTATTTATTGTTATTCACCGTATACACACCCTTCGCCGCATGTAAGTGACTTGTTTTCCTTTTAAATTTCCAGTAAATGTGTGTCCATTTCAAACAGAGAAATATCACCCTTTCACAAGTTTCAATTATAACATCAGGTAAATGTTTTTATTTCAATAAAAAGAATACAAAGAAAAAAATGGTTATTATGAAATCTAAGCATTTCAAAATGTAGCTGCATATTTCATTTGAATTGAAAGGATTTTAGATTTTTGAAAGGGTCCTCCTTTAACCTCCAACAGTAGCAGGATTCAAATCCAGTGTGTTCTCATGATGTTTATGAATACCAATCTTGCTCATGCTTTATGTAATTTCAAGAACTTCATCCGACGTAATTCCGATCTTAACACAAGTGGCAATATTTAGATTGCAACAACTCTTTCTAATGCTATCCATTTTGCTGTAAAAAGGTCTTGCGTGAAAAAGGGATACATGAAAGATGACTATGTTCATTTGTTCGTTAAAAGGCCTGTAAGGAGATCCCCTATTATAAACCGTGGTATGAATCGAAGATCTCCCTAAACTTTCACTAGCATTTCAAATTTATTCTGATATGGATGGTTCCTTTCATTTTCCTAATGTGTTTTTTGCATATTTAAATAAAGGATATTTTGCTCGGTATGCGGCGCTTAGGAAGCTTCTTTACGAGTTTCTTGACTGTGATATAAATGGGGATGAGAAAAGCAATAAGAAGCAAATACTGTCCCTTGGGGCTGGCTTTGATACTACGTTTTTTCAATTACAGGTGCTTGATTTTTCATGTGAGATATTATTTATTTCTTGCTGTATAGCGGGTTTTGGCAGATCCTTGCATTGTGTATATGTGTTACTTTTCACTGTTCATTTTGCGTTAGTTTTTGCAATGCTATTGAGGTTGTGTATCTGGCTCTATGCTTCTTGTTTTTAATACGCCTACGAGTTACAGGCCTTCATGTGAACTGTTTTTTTTCCAGGATGAAGGGAAAGCGCCTTATCTTTACGTGGAATTAGATTTCAAAGAGGTATAGATTCTGTGCTGTCATAAATGTTTCCCCTCCATCTCAATCTACCCATGATTTTCTTTTCGTGTAGACATACGGGGAAACAAATTATTCAAATAATTTATTAAGTTTGACCACTTTACTTCTGCTTTCAACTTTATCTATTAAGTAGATAAAGTTGAATCTATTGAAACTTTCGGGTTCTAGTTTTATCTGGCAGCTTTCCCATCTCATAACTTGGTTCTCCTGTTTATTAGGTGACGAGTAAGAAAACTTCTCTCATTGAAAGCTCTAATCAGTTGAGGGCCAGAGTCGGTGAATCCGCATCGATCTCTACTGGTAAGAATAATTGGTTTCTGATCCCAGATTCTGACCTTGAAAAACTGATTAGCTTCGAAATGAATCTCAGAAAATTAAATTATGCCATTGGTTTCTCATGAAAAGATATGTTAGAAGAAGAAAGGACACCATTGTCAACAAATTGTAGGAATTTTCTTTGTACAACCACTTTCAACGCCTCTAGGATTGAAATGTATGGTTCCTAGTATTATTTATGCCTTAAGAGTGTGGTGCTATTTACATTTTTACTCGACTGAACATTGACATTGGAAATAATAGTTTATTTCTACACTAAATGATATTATGAAGTATATTTATCTCGATAACTGACACCCTAATTATGTTCAGAGAAAGGGGAAGTACTTGGCGACCACTACAAACTCATCCCTGTTGACCTGCGCGAAATAGAAAAACTTGACGATCTAATTTCTCTGGCTAATATTGATCCAAGGTATGTGTAATTGTTTCGGTTACTTAATTTCATTTACTACATTAGCCACATGCTGCCTGAACCACCTGAGGAAATGTGGATATTTATTTTGTCTTCAACAGCATAATAATTATACTTTATTGTAATCATTTAAACCTTGTAGTCTCTCTTTCGTATTTTTCTCTTAAGTTTATTTCAATAATTATGTGATGAAATTACTTTTTGTATATTACGAAATTTGTAGCTAGAAACTATTGCAACTTATTGTTGGTTCCATTGTACTCCAAAGTCTAAAATGGGTTGTTAGGTGTTATTCTCTTGCAGCGTTCTTAACTTTTAAGGAGGTTGCATTTATGTTTATTTGATTAATGAGCGCTGGTTATTATATTCATATTTCCCCTCTCGTTCCATGTTCGGTCCATTCATATATTCATCAAGTCTCTGTGTGTGTGTGCCCTTGTCATGGAGTTCTGACACATATGTCATTCACAATGTGGATTCAAGAATGTGAAGAATACAACCATAAATCATTGTAGTGTTTATGAGGAGCATGATTGGATGTTGAAAACAGAGACTTCTGAGTAATTCTGTCGTACGTCTATTTATAATTACCCAAAAAACTCGCATGCTTTCTCCTATCTGTGTAGCTTTTCTTTCTCTTGTATTCCCATGTTTATTCTCCTCATATCCCCTCATTGGAATGGAGTCTGCTATCCTTTTCTAATGCTATTATCAGTTTGCCTACTTTTATAATTGCAGAATGTGTTCTTATATACTTAGATCCAGATTCAAGCCGTGCGATAGTCGGATGGGCTTCTAGGACATTTTCGACAGCTATATTTTTCTTATACGAACAGGTTATGGAACATTTAGTATCGTAATTTTGAATATAACACGATGTTTATCAGTTTCTTATCTAATTTTGTCTGTTTTGTTCTCTAAGTTTGGTATCTTTTTCCTTGCTTCTTTCATTACTTGACTTAGTTGCTCTGCAGTGGCCTGATAATACATTTGTTCTCCCCACAGATTCATCCAGACGATGCTTTTGGACAACAGATGATAAGGAATCTGGAGGTATTGTTGCATTATCTCCATATTCTCGTTACCTTTCGTATAGAATCAGAGTCAGATAGATGATTGGAAATTGGAAATTGGTATTCTGTCAGTGAGGATTTAGTGTTTTCATCGTGAGCATCAATTTTCAACACTACTCTTGCAATATAGTTCCAAACCTGTGCTGGTAAATCTTTTCATTACTTCATCTTGCAAGTGTAAGAAAAAGATTTGCAGAGCAGAAAGAGAAAATTCCTTTCAAATAATAGATGTAAATAACAAATATTTCACATTGGAATGAAAAAGGAGGATGCAATGACCTGTGCTGTATGGTGTGGAGAGAAGTGTGCATGATATTTTATTAATGGCATCATAATAGCAATTTTAAATAGATTAAGTTTTTAAAACATCGAGCATCTTCCTTCGTGATTTATATTATGGTGAAATTTTGCAATCTCATACTCTTGCAGACTAGTTCCCCAAGAGATGTTGATGGTTGTATCCCTCTCTTGAAAAAAAATTGCAATAATTATGTAATAAGGTATTATGCGAGTAACATTTATCATGAAGGTTAATTAAAATTATTTTCATTTTAGAGTCGGGGATGTGCACTATTGGGCATCTATGATACACCTACTTTACATGCGAAGGAAAGACTTTTTCTTGATCAAGGATGGCAGGTATTCTCTCATAAACCCACCGGTCATGATAATACAAGAAAACAATGTCTATCTTGTTTTTGCATATTATCCAACTGAATTACATTTAGATTTGACTCTATACGGTTTACTTTGTTAGAAATGTAACACGGAATGCACTATAAGAGTAAATTATAATTTAAACCTCAAAGCAATTTGAATAGGTTGGTTTTCGGATTTTTTTTGCAAAATTGTAAAAACTTCGATTTTGGTCTTAATTATGAAAATTTGGTTAAATCACATTGCTTATTTATGTTGTTACTTGTTAGTTTAGCATCTTTTGACATACCGATTTTTGAAATGACTTGTCAAATAAATAACTTGGGTTGTCTTGTAGAGAGCTGTTGCGTGGGACATGCTGAAAGTTTACAGTACTTTCATCGAAGCCCAAGAAAGGCGCAGGTATATTTATTTTTTAATCTGACAAGAATATTTACATTGATTGTGCAATTATACAGCAGAAGTGCCTGATGATTAAAAGCTTACCCTAGATTGAAATGTTAATGGTTTTTTACAAGTGTCTGCTTCATTAATTTGACAATAATCATGTATTCATGCATGTGCTTGTGATCAACTCTTGTGTTTTGTCCTAATTACATGCTACCCTCGGAGTTTGATTGATTGTCTGAAAGTTTTAGATTACTAAAGGAAGTTAGTATAACTGTCTGAGAGTTTCCAATACATGTGAAAGATTCATACCCTTTCTCCTTTTGTTTCTTCTAGCTTTGAAGGTGCCCTTGTATTATTAGTCTTAAAGAGTTTATTCTTTTTTCCAAATCTATTTACATACTTTTGCTCCTTTTTATCCCTTCAACCTTTTTGGGATGCTGAATGAACATTTTTAATCATTCTTATCTTCTAACGTTGAATAGGATTGAACGGCTCGAACTGTTCGATGAGTTCGAAGAGTGGTACATGATGCAGGCAAGTACATCCAAATAATACTTTTCTCCTATGACAAATATGAATTCCTTAGAAAATTGTGTGTTTTAAATATATACTGCTGCAAGGTTATGCTATCCACTAATATTAGATGTTTCGTGAGAATATTTATAATTAAATATCTGGACTGTAAATCCTCAATACCACTGTAATCTAAAAGCCTGTTTTAATGGGTGTTCTTATAACCTAAAGATAAGGAGTTTTTTGGTGTCTCAAGGAGGCATCGTATAATTTGATTCAATTAATTTAATCACTCGTAGATCCTTATTGGTTGCACATTTGCTTTTTTTACAAATTTTTATCACCTCCGTATAGTATTCAAATCTTTAAAGTGTGATCACAACTTTTGGTCGTAAAGCTATCGAAGGTTTGTTTGGTTGTCTTATATAAATTCAAGTATTTTAGTCCGATTTTTTAGACGGACCTAGTTGTTTTTATACTTGATTAAATTAGCTATTACGAGCCACGACATGCTCTTTTCCTCAGCATTTATCTGAAACTTTGCAAAATTGCTTCTCTCGTAAATTGCATGTACACTTCACCATGTCAGTGTAGCTCGATGGGCATGTATTCAATTTCTTCTGACCACGAAATTCTTGGATTTTATCGATCTAAATCATATATTTATTCCATACCGCTATTATCTTTTAATCATTTTGATAATTCTGAAATTATTTCTTTTCCAGGAGCATTACTGTGTGGTCTGTGCAATCAACGATGCATCGGTATGCCCTCGTCTCTGAGAGATATATAAATTCCTTACCTAATGATTTGCGCATACTATTTAGTAATTGAATTATTTTAATACTTTCAGGGTATATTCGAGAAATTCGGTTTTCCAAACGAGGAGCATGTGACAGGTTCGTCCCCTTCTGCAACAACTATACGAGGGTGATTTCTTCCTAAATTGCATTTCCCTCTGTTTCCTTATTTTCCCTATTTATTGTCATTGTGTTACTCTTGTGTAATATGTACTGATATTGATCGTACAATTGTTAGATGGGGGTGATTAATTTTGCATCATCGCAAGCAATTTTTATCAGTTATTATTTCAGGTATGAGAAATAATTTCGAGAATGCATGTCATTTTGGATATTCGAAATTCAAGAACATGTTAATTGTGAAATTTTATCCACATGGTGTTGAATAACATATTTCTTTGTCACATACTTCGTTTTGATTCAAAGTTTTCCGGCTGATCAATGTCACTAGTAAGAAAACTTTAAGGTATGCTAAAATAATTTTAAGGTCTTTGTAGTATTGTTAATTACAATCACCCCTGAAACATTGTAAGAAAACCTAACGGAATAATGCATTGGATAAGTTATTCCGTTATGGTTTTAGCAGACTATTAGTTTCATGCAGTGGTGGAGACAACATAGAGCTAGGGGGTGATATGACTCTCCTAATATTTGTTAAATCCTTATTATTTTGTGTAATGCATATCTGTCCCTAGGACATGAAATTTTGGTTTTGGTAATTGTTCCAGGGGTGTGGCTGTAATTATCAATACCAAAAGGACCTTAAGGTTATTTTATTATACCTCAGGGGTGTAGGTGTAATTTACCCTTAAATATAATCCAAAAATAAAAGTAAAAAAATAAAATAAAATGATAAAAATGTGGAAATAAAAGGGTGATCTTGATAGTTGGGGTCCAACACAAGTGTGGGTTAGAAAGAAAATTCCTTTCACAAACTTCAAACCTTTTACTTTCACCTCCCCTATGTTGTCTTTACTTTCTTTGTCCCAATAAAAAAGTATGAATCCACTCAACAAAGTCATATTGGAATATGAAGTGTAATTTTTGTGGGCTCTATGGTTGAAATTGATATATATATATATATATATATGTGTGTGTGTGTGTGTGTGTGTGTGTGTGTGTGTGTGTTAATTAATAGGCCACCTAGATGCTCAAAATATGCTCAAAAAGGGGAAAAGGGTAAGAAAATTAATTCATTTCCATGCCTTGATAGGAGTAATATGAAACATCTAATCCTAGTAAGCTTTGGTCTCAAAAGAATAAACTTAAATCTTGTCAAGTTGATATCTTTGAGTTTAAGTTGAAATATTTATTATAGTATGTATCTTCAAATTTCGATCGACTAAATTTTGGGAATGAACGGTCTTTTACTTATTAGAATTATAAGAAAATACAGTCTATATATGTTCGAAATAAATATTTACAACCAAGAAAATGTAATATCGGTATTTATCTAGTTTGTACTGCAAGACAATTCGAATAAAACTACAGTTGAAATTAGCAAAATTTGATTAATTTAGTATAATATTAAATTATTGAATTAATAATTTAATAGATTGTCACTGATTCGAGACAAAAATAAATTATTATTTAAGCAAAATTATTAATTTATCAAGAGAATTTATTCCCCAACAAAAATGAAACATCTTTTGACCACATTGCTTTGAATATACCTCCTTTTTTCGAGATGTCAAAAAAGGCGCGAAGGAGTTGATAAGAAGATACAGAATTTAAATACCAAAAGGGTCCCCACCACAACTTACATGCATTCCTTCTTCTTCTTGGAGCTCTCAATAATTTACTTTGTTGATTTTGTAGAAACGATATGCAAATTTATTGCCAAAATTTTCATATTTTGTGTTGTTGTGCACGTATCAAAAAAATTAATTAATGTGTATAGATTATAATAAAAAATATAGAAAATCACTAAAATAACATCCACATGAATTGTGTACCAAAGAATTATTTAAAAGTGATAAAGGGTAAAATAACAAATAATGTAGGACAATAATTATTTTTTTAAAAGACAAATAATATGGGACAATTGGGGTAGTTTCTAAAATTCGGTCACATTTAATATTCGTAAAATCTTGGACGACACATATTTTAAGACGGAGGGAGTACTCGATAATTTTTTATTTTTTTTTGTAATCCTAATTCTTAAAAGACAAATCCTTGTTGCAATTATACAAAACCTAAACACTCATTATAGCTATAATCGTCATTAATTTTAAAAATTCCCACAAAATCAAAACATTATTATATATTTTATTAAATCAAATTTCAATAAAAGAAAAAAGATTTTTTTTTAAAATGATTTTCTTTAAGAAGAGGAGAAAGCAAGTGAAAATTAGTGTGTGAACTGTGAAAAATAAATAGTACTTCAGTCTCTCACCTTCTTCTTCTTCCTCCGCCACCTTAACCTTTTATTTGATCAATTTTCCCTCCAAAATTTCTATATATATATATATATATATATATATATATATAGAGAGAGAGAGAGAGAGAGAGAGAGAGAGAGAGAGAGAGATGGGATGTACGGTGTCGAAGCTGGACAACGACGACACGGTGCAGCGGTGCAGGGAGCGGCGCCACCTCATGAAGGAGGCTGTTTACGCTCGCCACCACCTCGCCGCCGCCCACTTCGACTACTGCACCTCCCTCCGCCTCACCGGCTCCGCCCTAGTCGCATTCGCCTCCGGCGAACCCCTCCCCGTCTCCGATCACACCCCCGCCGTCCTCCTCCGCACCCCCACCCCCGCCACCAAACCCCCGCCCTCCCATCACCACAGCCCTAATTTCCACCACTCTCCTTCCCCCTCCGTCCGCCCACCTCCCCCGCCGCCGCCCATGTCCACCACCTCCTCCTACCACAAACCCCCGCCGCCGCCGCGTCGGAGAAAACCAATTAAATTACCCCACATACTCTCCGACTCCAGCTTCTCTTCTTCCCCTCCGCCAAACCATAATTTCACATACAACGCAAGAGCGAATTCAACATACTCAAGCACACCTTCTCAAACTTCTTCTTCAGTGTGGAATTGGGATAATTTCTACCCTCCCCCTTCACCCCCAGACTCCGAATTCTTCCACAAATCCGAAACCCGGCCCGAAAATCCCAATTCCGATGACGACGATGATAAGCAATTCGATGACGTGGCGTCCAATTACTCGTCAAACTCACATTATTCAGGCAACAATCACACGAAAAATCAAACCCCCAAACCAGCAGCACTCATGAGAAAAGCAGAAAATTCGAAGAAATGGGGAAGTTCAGAAGAAGAAGAAGAAGCTGAGAGAGAGGAAGTAGAGTGCAGTGAATGGGGAGACCATGATAACTACACGAGCACAAGCAGCTCGAGTGACGAAGAAGGTGATTTGAGGTCGAGATCTGATTTCACGACAAGGTCCGATGTTTTCGGATCGGTAAAAAATGATGGGAATGCGAAGACGAACGTGAATTCGAACGCCAAGTTCTCGAGTATATCGGAGAAGCTTTCGTCTGAGGAGGATGAAGATGAGAAATCTTCTGTTAATTGGGGGAACGGGAATAGCGAAGGGGTGAATTCGGAAAGTAGAATTGTTGTTAGGCATCGAGATTTTTCGGAAATTGTTGGGGCGCTGAGTGAGTATTTTGATAAGGCTGCTTCGGCCGGAGATCAGGTTTCCGAGATTCTCGAGGCGGGCCCCGCTCAGCTGGATCGGAGCTTCAAGCAATTGAGAAGTAAGTCTCGTTTATTATTCGGTTATCGAAATCAAGAAGTTTGGTTTTTCAGCTAATAATTCAGTCTTAGAGAGTGTTTATCTGTTTGAAATACATGTGTGTGTGTGTGTGTGTGTGTGTGTGTGTGTGTGTGTGTGTGTGTGTGTGTGTGTGTGTGTGTGTGTGTGTGTCGGTGGAGCTTCAAGCAATCGAGAAGTAAGTGTTTTATTCTTCAGTTAATCGAATCAAGAAAACAGAGGAATTCAAATGTTTTGAGGAAGCTAAGTTTTCGAAATGATTTTATTTATAAAAAATAATTAATTTATTTTTTGGAATTTACAGAGACGATATATCATTCAAGTGGAATGTTGAGTAACTTGAGTTCAAGCTGGACTTCAAAGCCTCCGTTGGCGGTTAAATACCGGCTCGAACAATCCGGTGATACGAAGGGTACTTTGTGCTCAACTTTGGAACGAATCTTGGCTTGGGAAAATAAATTATATCAAGAAGTGAAGGTACTAATTTTATATTTGTTTTTTCTAATTTACAGTTTGATTCTTTCTTTTTGTGAGGGATAGTAATATAATTTTTAAGTACGCGATGCGCCTAGGGGTGTATATTGGAATGGAATTTTCGAATTCCTTCGATTCAGATCTGAATATTTCCAATTTGGAACATTATTTTTCATTCCGAATTCCGAAAGTTCCTATTCCACTTTTCCGACTTTTTTTTTTGGGAACGAAATTGGAATACTTATTAGATTCCAATTTCCAATCCGATTTTAATTTCAAGAAATTTTTGTTTTGTTTTTTCCGAAAATTACACTTATAGACTATAGTATAATATTATTATGTATTTTATATTTTAGTGGTAAAGAAATGGAAATTCCGAATTACGTCAAGTTCAACCCAAAAATTTCCGATATGCTGATTTCCGATTTTTTTATAAACAGAACTGGAATTAGTTTTTCACTTCCAAAAAAAATGGATTTTTTTTTACAAAAGTGCTAATTGTAATCCGATATGTCCGATTTCCACCTCTATAAGTGCCTAATTCTACCATTTTTTTTACTTGCCGACTAATGTTTGTGTTGTGATGATGATTGTAGGCTAGAGAAGGAGTTAAACTCGAGAACGAGAAAAAATTGTCGGCACTTCAAAGTCAAGAGTATAGAGGGGACGACGAAGCCAAGGTGGACAAGACAAAGGCATCGATAAAGAGGCTACAATCTTTACAGTTAGTGACATCACAAGCTGTTTCAACTACCTCGTTTGCTATTATCGGTTTACGAGACTCCGATCTTGTGCCTCAACTTGTCGAACTTTGTCACGGGTAAGAAATTCAATCTCTTACATTCGAAATTGGGATTTTCTAGTTAGATTAATGGTTGTTAAACTCTTAGAATTTCGATTTTCCGATGAATTCGTTTCGAGTTTTAAGCTTGTTGATTCATATCTTAAAGAAATAACGAATTTTCAAATCAGTTAAAAATTAAAATAGAGATATTCTTTTTTCTTATTTTATTTTATTTATGACATCATACTGAAAAAATAATTGCTCGATAAATACAAAAAAAAATGCAGTTTCATGTACATGTGGAGATCGATGAACCGTTTCCACCATCTCCAAAACGACGTAGTTCAGCAAGTCCGCGGTCTCGTGGTCCCTACCACAAAATCATCATCCACGTCAGATTTCCACCGGCAGGCAACCCGCGACCTCGAATCAGCCGTCTCCACCTGGCACTCCAGCTTCTGCCGGACGATCAAGTTCCACCGCGACTTCATCCGCTCCCTCCACGGATGGCTCAAACTGACCGTCGTCCCGGTCAACTCGACCGAGTCAACCCGGACCGAAAGGAGTCAAGTAGCCGAGTCGGTCTTCGCCTTCCTCGACGAGTGGAAGCTCGTTCTCGACCGAGTCCCGGACACGGTCGCCTCCGAGGCGATCAAGAGCTTCGAGAACGTGGTCCGTTCGATCTCCTCGAAACAGACGGAGGAGATCAAAATTAAAAAAAGGGCTGAATCAGCGGCGAGGGATTTGGAGAAGAGGGCTTCCTCACTGAGGAATATCGAGAGGAAGTACTACCAATCTTACTCGATGGTCGGCGTGGGACCGCCTCCCGACGTGGGGCCCGCTGTTCTGGACGGGCGGGACCCGCTGGCGGAGAAGAAGGCGGAGATGGTGACGTGGCGGAGGAGGGTCGAGGAGGAGATGGTGAAGCACACGAAGGCGGTGGAGGTGACTCGGGCGATGACGCTGAATAATATACAGACGGGCTTGCCAGGTGTTTTTCAAGCTGTCACCGGCTTCTCTGCTTTGATTACTGAAGCTCTTGATTCAGTTTGCACCACCTCTTATGCCATTTAACTGATTTGTAATATAAATATTTGATATTTAATTTGAACTTATATTATTTCTTGATTCATTAATTAGTTAAGGATTATGATAATTCACATATAATCAACACATATATACATGTGTATGTGTGTGTAATAGATACAGAACACGTGCTGTAGAAATGTACGATACAAATCAATAATAAACGTCGATAAATTAACAACTTCGCTTAAATAATAATTTTTTCTAATCCCAATTCGATAAAAAAAACGTATTAAATTAGTAGTTTAGTAATTTACTATTTGGCTAAATTATAAGAATTTTACTATTTCCATCTGTATTAATTTGTAGAAGATCTTAATATTTGTCCCAATTTTCAAATTATGGTTGAAATACAGTTACTAAATATCAAGCATCCTCAAATTGGGACATACAAATTCCATTACCATCAACTAATTGAACTGATTTAAATATTAAATAAGAAAAAAAAAAAAAAAAAAGGACAAGAAAACCAAATTCTCCTACCAACCTAAAAGAACTCAAAGTCAAGAAACTTCCCCCCAGATTTCATCTCTGTCCCCACCACCCTCTTGCCGCCACCACCACCGACCACCTCCTCCACCTTCGCCGGAAACTTTGCCGGGAATTCCATCTCCACCGGCCTCGGCACCTCCGGCGGCGTACTACACCTAATCAAAGCCCAATTCACCCCCTCGAAAAACGCGTGCTGCTTCAACTCGGTCGCCCCCCTCTTCACCCCCAGCCTATTCTGTGGCTCCTTCACAAGCAAACCCCTAATAAGATCCCTGCTCGCGTAGCTAGTCGCCGGAGAATCAGGGAATCTCAGCTGCTCCCCCACCACATTAAACAACGTCTTCCGATTCTCCGCCCCCTTAAACGGCGTCTTGCCGTAGAGCAACTCGTACAAAAAAATCCCGAAAGTCCACCAATCCACCGCGCTCCCGTGCCCCTCCCCTTTAATAATCTCCGGCGCCAAATACTCGTGGGTCCCGACGAAAGACATCGACCTGGCCGAGGTGGGCTCCGCCAGAAGCTCCGGTAGGGCACCGGCCGAAATTACCGTTTCGCCCCTCGACTTTTTCTTGTTCTTTTGGGGGAAGATGAGGCGGGGGAGGAAGCACGAGGGCTTCATGCATGCGGAGGAAGTGGGGCCCGCCGCCATGCAGAAGGAGGATCCAGATCCGGAGTTTGGTGCGGAGGTTCGGATTAGGGTTGGAGAGACTGTGCATCGGAGGGAGAGGTCGAAATCAGAAAGCATGATGTGGCCGTCGTCGCGTACGAGGACGTTTTCGGGTTTTAGGTCACGGTAAACCACTCCTAGCATGTGGAGGTACTCGAGTGCTAGTAGAACTTCCGCTGCGTAAAATCTGTTTTTTCATTAAACGAGACAAATCATTAAGACACGTAAGAAGAGTAGTTTTGGTAAGAAATCCGATATTTTATGCCGGGAAACTGCGAATGATCAAGACCGTTTTCTTTCGAAATGTAGACGAAACATAATTGAAAATAGCCATTTAATGCTCTTAAAGGAAGAGAATCAAAAAATCCTTTCGAACCGAATTACACGTTTCCAATGCGAATATTTCGGATCTTGGAACAATATTTTTCATATTGAATTTCGAAAGTTTCAATTTCCATATTTTTTTTTGAACGAATTCAGAATATATATATTAGATTCCGATTTCCGATCCGAATTTAATTTCCGAAAAATTACACTTATCATAACAATGTTATTATATATTTTTATATTAAAAAAATATAAAAAATTCCGATCCAACTTTTTTATTTTTTAAACAAGCTTTTTCATTCCAATTTCCAAAACTCAGGTATCCGAATTTTCCGATTTTTTTAGGAACGGAATTTTTTCAAATGTGCTCCATAAAAGAGAAAGAGTGAGAATATACCTCGCAGCATATTCCGAAAAATGTTTCCCAGGTTGTCTCTGCCTCAAAGTATGAAGATCTCCACCCGGACAATACTCCATAACCAAACAACAAAACCGATCCGTCTCGAAATGAGTGTACAAAGTCGGCAAAAATGGATGATCCAAAAGCTGCAATATTTCCCGTTCCGTTTGAGCCCTATTCAACTTATTCCTACTAGCAAGCGAAGCCTTATCCATAACCTTCATCGCAAAAAAACACCGAGTCGAACTCAGCTCCGATAGATACACACTCCCTATATCTCCACACCCGAGTCTCCTAAGCAGCTTAAAATGGCTCATGCCCAAAATACCCTCCCTCGCTCGAACACCAATTATAGCCTTCCACCTAGGATCGTTTCCCTTATGAGGCTTATTCGCACTCCCCGTATTATTACTCCAATTACTGTCGTCGCTAAGTCCGCTACTATCACTCGCTCGACTATGGCTGGTTTTCGTACTCTCGAGGGAATCTCCGAGAATATTCCCTTTCGTCATACTAAGCATCCCGTCGCTCGTCGTTAAACCATCGCTTCGGTAAGTGCTGCTTGCGTAGCTATTGGCTATGCTCATAGTTCTTGCGACGCTTACACTATCTATGCTACTGAGTGGACTCGGCGGCAACGAAGTGTCCCACACGCATTCCTTTTCGTCCGAATCTTGCATGTTCGCCTCTTCGGTTAAGGTATCGGAAGGTGAGAGAGATAATGGGCTTTTGAGAAACGGGCCGTTCTTGGTTAGGGTTTTGATTCCGACCTCGTTTTTATTGTGGGCGATCGGTACGTAAACGGGTTTCATCGTGTCTGTATCTATAGGTTCCGGTGGATGACTCACTCCGTGAAATGAAGTGGACCCGTTTTCTTCGAAAGAATCTTGACCGATCTTGAACGAAAGAACGTCGGTCATTAGCTCTTCTTCGTCTTCATCTTCGTCCTCTTGCAGAAAGGTTTTACCTTTCCACGCAAGTGAAGGGGGTCGTAAATCGAATTCTTGAGGGGGTTTGAATGTAGGTGGATTTCGACTATCGTCTCTCGATAAAGTCGGGTGGTTCTTTGTTGCCTTGGGAGGAAACGGTAATCGCCTTTCCATGTTCGGTCACTATGTATCATTAATTCATTACACAAGTATCTTCTCTTTTACGAGGTTATCCTGCAAAGGAACGACACGAAATACGGTTTTAGAATCGGGTTTTTTTCCTCTCTCTCTCGACACTAATTCAAGAAAATAATAAAGCATTTCACTAATATTCAAACAACAAACCAAGAAACCAACAAATTCAGCAAATATCACCACAAATTAACGTACGACGATCACCGGAAAAAAAATCATTCGTAACTCGAAAAAGGCAACTACTCAATTGTGATTTGTGAACTCCCTCCTCAAAAACAAAAGCTTACATTAAATCCTCCCCATCTTCAATAGTGTTACAAAAAGTGCAATTAATCCAATATCACTTTCTCTTCACACCATTCAAAAAATGTACTATCTTATACAATGGACAAAATTACAGAAAGAAACACACATTAGACAAGAACATTATTATTATTATAATAAATAAATAAATAAATAAAAAAAAAAAAAATTAGAAACATAAACAAACACCCAAAACAAAACAAAACAAAAAACAAACAGAAGGCACCGAAAAATCAGAAGCGGCAAGTAAAAATTCAAAAGAATACATACCTCTGCAGAATTGAAAAACATGCATTTTCATTCATGGGTTGTAGAAATTAAAAATCGCGAGAAAGAAATAAAAACTTGAGCTTTAATTTTAATTTTTTAATTTTTAATTTTTTATTTTTCTCCGTTCAACAATTGCTGCTGCAGCAAGAGGAAGAGAAAAAGGGGGGATTTTGACGATATGGGTTCGCTTTATTGTTGCAGAGGAATTTGTATATGAAAAAATCTTTGTGTAGCGAAGAAGAGTGATTGATGCTATGTGTGCAGTGTAGGAGTATAGCTTTTCTTTTTTCTTCCTTTTTTCTTCTCTCTCTAGTTTCTCTCTCCTTTTTCTATTTTTCTCCGAATTAATTATTTATTTATTTATATTCTTTTGGTTGCTTTTGGGCGCTTTAGTCATGTGTTCACTGTGACGACTGTTGAATAAATAAAGTTGCTATGGGCAGATCTCAAGGGATAGTTAGTCTAGGTGAAGAGACGAAAATACCCCTAAGATTCTTTTTTCTGTGAATTTTATTTTCTTGGCCCCTTCAACTGTATATTTGATGTTCGATAAAATTAGTAATTAACTTACCATCGGATTAATTTTATATAACGACTGAATAAGAAAATTTATATTTGTATACATGAAATACTAGAGGTTGTGAGTTGTGATACGATAATTGTTGTACTAGGACCATTAGTTTTTGAGTAACCGCATCTAATACTAAAATTTAATGTTTTACGATTATAAAATTGGTACGAGTGAAAGAATGTCGGGCTACTAGGATGACCTTTAACACCATATTGAGAAAGATCTGAGACCCAATATCTACCACGTGAAAAGAGTTCATGCCGCTAAATGAAAAACCTCCATGGTAGAAAATAAAGAAACATAAAATAATATTTATAGCGCAAGAACACGGTGAAATTTATCTATCTATGCTATTTTACTTTTTTATAATCAATGTAATTAACAAGTTAAGAATAAAATGAAAATAAATATATGACAAAAGATTTTTGAAAAACAATACATGGCATCAATTTTTTACCCCTTTTTCAGAAAAAAAAAAAAAAAAAAAAAAAAAAAACCAAAGTAGCTAGGGGCGGTAGTGTGAAAACAGTGATAAAAGGGTGTGGCAATAGCAGGAATAAGGGTGGGGAAATAAAGAATGTGGGGACCACTTGCGACCGTTAATGGCCCAGAGGTGGGACCCACAGCTGTTCCTCCTTTGGTGTAACACGTCTTTTCAGAGGGGCAACCCCAAGGGACAGCTTCTTCGCCTAGGTCACGTCCTCCATTATATACTATTTATTTTTTATTTAAATACTCAATTAATTTTTTTTTTGAGTAATACTCAATTAAATTATTTATTTGGTAAATACATATCCTAAAATTAGACTATATTATTTATTGCATACTCAATTTTACATATTTCTCTTCTTGTAATGAATTTGGATTTACTCTTTTTTTTTTTTCTTTTTACATATTTCTCAACGTCTACATAAAGTTAAATTACAGTCACCACTGACGTAAGATCAAATTAAGAAATTTTGATACGACAAATTTTCATACCATTTATCGTACGCTTCGGTAAATAAGTGAATTATCGAAATTTTATTAAAAAGATTTAAAAAAAAATATTATAATAATTTTAGTTTAAATACTAATATATATATATATATATATATATATATATATATATAGTTGAATATCAAACCGAATTATCAGTTCAACTAGGGGTGTGCACGGGTCGGTACGGCTC